ATGTAATTAATATATTCTTAGTGCTTATTTTCTTATTATAATGTTTAATGTATGTTAGTAATAAAAGCTTGTAAAGCAAGGCCACTTTTGACTCGTAAACTAAGGGCTCAGCCAGACTGAAAACAGGAAGTTAGTGTAGAGCAGGGGTGTCAAACTCAATTGCACAGGGGGCGAAAACTCAAGGCACACTTTATGTCGCGGGCCAAACAAGATAAACATTTATTGAACACACTAAAACAATGTTTTTTAATAAAAACAGACAGGAATATTATTCCAGATTAAATAAACTTAAAAAAATAAACTTTAACTTTAAATATTTTGCTCTTCATAAAAATATATCCTGTCAAAATTATGCAAGTTAGAAATATGAACATGCTGCCAAAAACCCCAGAAAAAATAAATGAAAGCAAATTCAAGCTGGGCGTTGCTTCAGGAATGGAACTAATAAACTGTGCGGGCCATTCTGTGTCGTACTTTCCCTTGAGTGTGTCATTACACTGCAGAACCAAAACCAGCAAAAACCATAAATCAACAACCCCTCCCAGGTCACAGTCCCAAAGTCAGACCGCGCATCCCGCAGCGGTGCAAAAAGAACAAAAACAAAAATGCCACAAAACAGTCTCAGGCGGCCCATCACTACAACAAAAGAGTTTCAGTGGCCTACCTCGGGTCCCGTGACGGCAGTGGGACGCTTTAGACGGCCGACCTCGAGTCCAGTGGGGGCAGCGTTACAGCTCCGGCAGGCAGCCATGGATCCGGCAGCAGCAGCAAAACTGTTCTGGGGGCCTGCCACTGATCCAGTGGCAGTGGAGCTGCAGCTCCAGTGGCTTGCCACGCGTCCAGAGGTGGCGGCGCTGTACCTCCTGCAGCCTGCCACAGGTCCGGCAGTAGCGGCGAAACGGTTCCAGTGGCCTTCCTCGGGTCCAGTGGCGGCGGCGCTGCTCCTCCAGCGGCTTACTCCGGGCCCCGTGGCGGCGGCGCTGCTCCTCCGGCGGCTTGCCCCGGGTCCGACGGCAACGGCACTGCTCCGGTGAGCAACAGCTAGGAGTGGCACATGGCCTATGAAGCACTGGTCGCTGACGTGGGCGGTGTGAAGGGCGTGCTAGACGTGGGCGGTGTGGAGGGCGCGCTAGACGTGGGTGGCGTGGAGGGCGCAGAGTTCAGGAGTCTGACAGCTGTGGGGAAGAAGCTGTTCCGGTACCTGGTGGTCTTAGTCCGGAGGCTCCTGTAGCGCCTCCCAGAGGGCAGGAGGGTGAAGAGTCCATGTGATGGGTGACTGGGGTCTTTGATGATTTTCCCAGCCCTTTTCAGACACCGCTTCCTGTAGATGTCTTTTATGGCAGGAAGTGGTGCTCTGGCGATGCGCTGGGCAGTTTTCACGACCCTCTGCAACGCCTTCCGGTCCGAGGCAGAGCAGTTCCCGTACCAGTTCCCGTACCCTGTTGTAGGGCAGGGATAGCTCAGTAGGTAGAGTGGCGGCCCCATGATCGGAAGGTCGGGGGTTCGATTCCCCTGAACAGCTACCCTGAGGTACCCCTGAGCAAGGTACCGTCCCTACACACTGCTCCCCGGGCGCCCAATGGCTGCCCACTGTTTCACTGAGTGAATGGGTTAAATGCAGAGAGGGATTTTCCCCACGGGGACCAATAAAGTACACTTCTTTCTTTCTTATACAGTTGGCCAGGATGCTCTCGATGGTGCAGCGATAGAAGTTCACCAGGATGTCTGAGGACAGGTGGTTCTTCCTCAGAGTCCTCAAGAAGAAGAGGCACAGGTGAGCGTGGACGTCCAGATGAGATCCTCGGAGATGTGGACTCCCAGGAACTTGAAGCTGCTCACACGCTCCACAGCTGTCCCCTTAATGTAGATGGGTGGATGTGGGTCAGCGTTCCTCCTGTAGTCCACGATGAGCTCCTTGGTCTTCTCGGTGTTGAGCAGCAGGTTGTTTGTGTCGCACCACTCAGCCAGACGATCTACCTCCTCCCAGTAGGCGGTCTCATCGTTGTCACTGATGAGGCCAATCACCGTGGTGTCATCTGCAAACTTAATGATGGTGTTGGAACCATCAGCAGGTCTGCAGTCGTGGGTGAAGAGGGAGTAGAGGAAAGGGCTCATCACACAGCCTTGTGGTACACCGGTGTTCATTGTGATTGTAGATGAGCAGCGGTTATCCAGCCGGACATGTTGGGGGCGGTTGGTCAGGAAGTCCAGTAACCATTTGCAGATGAGGGAACTGATGCCCAGGTCTGTCAGTTTCCTGATGAGTTGTGAGGGGAGGATTGTATTGAATGCTGAACTGAAGTCTATAAACAGCATTCTGGCGTAGGTGTTGTTGTTGTCCAGGTGTGAGAGGACAGAGTGCAGTGCGATGGAGACTGCATCCTCTGTGCTCCTGTTCTGGCGGTATGCGAATTAGTGGGGGTCCAGGGTGGGGGGGAGACAGGATTTGAAGTGTGCTAGGACCAGCTGCCCTAAGCACTTAGTGATGATGGGGGTGAGGGCTACTGGGCGGTAGTCATTGAGGCTAGATGGGTTGGAGTTTTTGGGTGTCGGGACGATGGAGGTGGATTTGAAGCAGGCCGGTACCACAGCGTGGGCCAAGGACAGATTGAATATGTCTGTCAGCACTCCTGTAAGCTCCCCAGAACACGCTCTGAGAACACGCCCGGGGATGCCATCAGGGCCTGCAGCCTTGTGGACATTGATCCTGCTCAGCACCGCTCCTACATCGGTGGGGGAGAGAGTCAGAGGTTGGTGGTTTGGCGTCATGTCTGCTTTGGTTGTGATTGTGGGGTTCCCTCGCTCAAAACGAGCATAAAAGTTGTTGAGCTCGTTGAGGAAGGAGACATCAGAGGATACGGGGGAGGGTTTGGTGGTCCTGTAGTCTGTAATGGTCTGGAGTTCTTGCCACCTGCATCGGGGGTTGGAGTTAGAGAAGTGTTCTTCTACCTTCTTTTTGTAATGGTGTTTGGCTTTTTTGATACCCTTCTTTAGATTAGCCCTGGGCGTAGGCATGTGCATCTCCTGACCTAAAGGCGGTGTTGCGGGCCTTCAGATCATTACATGCTCCATTTTTAGGACTTTACCACACAGCGTTTCCTGGTGTATGAAGCAGTGATATGCTGCTAACTCACCGGTACAGTGATCCTGCATCTTTACTTGCATCCTGCTGACTTGTCCGCTTTTTTCACCGCACAACACCGGCGCTCCATCTGTTGTAAGTCCAACAAGTTTGTCCCAGGGCAGTTTCATGTCGGTTACACTTTGACATACGTTTTAAAAAATGTCTTTTCCTGTCGTTGTCCCGTGCATCGATTTAATGTTCAATATTTCCTCTCCACGGATGAAGATGACCAGCTGTGCAATGTCCATCATGTCTATACTTTCATCCACAGACAGTATGCAATGAACTTTTTGCTTCTTTCACACAACTGTGTTCTTAAATCAGTGGCCATCTCACAAACCCGATCAGCAATCGTATTTCTCCTCAGGCTCACATTTGCCAAAATCTGCGTTTTGTCTGGACACAAGACGTCGCACAGCTTCATCATGCAGCCCTTCAGAGTGGTACCGGGCTGATTTGGCTCCTCTACTACAATAAAACTTGCTTTCACAACACCTGCACTTTGTGATTTTGCTCTGGTGCAAAAACTCTGCTGAAATGTCAGATTCTTCTTTAGCTCGTCTACTTTCTGTAGTTTCTGCTCTGCATTTAGGTTTTTCAGCTTATCCTGACGTTTTGTCTCATAGTGCCGTCTAAAATTAAATTCCTTCATTACAGCCACATTAGCTCCACTAATAAGACACACGGGTTTACCAGCATGTCTGTAAACATATATTCAGTCTCTGGCGCTGAAAGGCTCTGCTTTCAGAATCAACTTTTCTCTCCACCATTGTGAGCGGCTAGCTTCGCAATAACAGAAGTTTGACTTGATTGACGCGGGAATGTTCCCAGTTAGCCTAGCGTTCAGCACGGAGGCTGCAGCGCTGCATTATGGGATCTGTAGTTTGTATATTATTAGCACCTCATATCGCCGGGTCATGCATAACAATAATAGTACATCTATATAAAATGATCTCGCGGGCCGGATATAAATGTCCGCCGGGCCGGATGTGGCCCGCGGGCCTTGACTTTGACACGTGGTGTAGAGCTATACAAGCATATAAATAAAAACAGGACACCCAGACAAAAAGAGGAACTAGTAACATGAAACTATGTGTGACGTGTAAAGGACCAAAATAACACCTATATGAGACACATTTTTAAATTCTAATGTTAGAGTTTCTGCAACTGGCTTTTGGGGCTGTGCAGGGCTCTCTCTTCCAGAAGATGATTGAATAAAGAAATATAAATGTTTTGACCACTCTGAGTCGGGTTTTCTCTGTTCTATCATGGGGATCAAAGAATAGGGTTTAGGGTGCTCTCAGTGCTCGGGCCCTAATAAACGGAGCAAATACAATAGGGCCTTCACACGCTCAGTGCTCGGGCCCTAATAATGATAATACTACTAATAATAATAATTAATAATAAACGGAGCAGATACAATAGGGCCTTCGCACTCTCAGTGCTCGGGCCCTAAAAATGTTATGACATTTTTTAACACAAAATGCAATGGCATGAAAATCTCAAAAATAAATTTTTCATTTACAGTCGGACAGAAAACCAATAAATGCTTAAACTGAAACAACGCTTCAAAAGCATACAAGGCAAACGGAAGTTAAATCATACAGAATACAGAAAAAATTACAAAAATAAACGTGGCTAAAAAGTGTTTGGTTTTTAAAAAGATATTTGCAGTCAACATTTTTTGGAATTGACATTATACATAATTCCTGTTTTTATTTCCCTTCTACGACAATTTTTTGCTCTTTATTCCCATAAACTATAACTTTGCTGTTAAAAATTGAGTCTGTCATAGACACCTATGTGTTTTTTTTTAAATTCTAACTTAATTTTATTGTTTTACTCTGACTATTGTCTGTCTGTCTCTGACTCACAGTCACCTGTCTAGTTCTACACTCAGGGAGCTCCTCCACATCTGTAGCCCCTTCATCAAACGAGCCTGCCTTATCACCGGCTATGTGAGTATTTGTGTGTGCATAGCTTTGCAGTGTATATATACCGGGTAAAGTAAGCATCGAACACGTCACCAATGTTCTGTGTTAATATATTTCTAAAGGAGCTATTTACATGAATTTATCACCAAATGTTGGTAACAACCCATCAACTCCACACATTCAAAGAAATGAAACCATAGATTTCCAAGAATTAAGTTATTCCATCGCTATAATGTGGTCCACCTTTCGCGGCCTCGCTGTTTTGTGGATTTTTTGGGGGGCAATTTTCCATACTTTTTCTTCTTTTATTTTCTTTTTTTTTTTTAAACAGCCATTGTGTTCTGCATCCTGATTGGCTGTAGACAATTATCAATCAATCTTGTGCTGTGTCTCCAGAATGCATTCAGCTTGTCAAATTTATATAAATCTTCAATCACTAGCAGTGTGACTCTGAGGTGCTATACTGTATGTTTGTAAGTTTTCTCTCCAACAAACACAACACTGTTGACGAAACATTTTGCACCATCAAAGGCTCCTATGGTAGCACCGAAAGGGCAGAGGAAGATGCTATCCATTGCACAAAAAGTTGGACTTCTGGACATGCTAGTTACCCTATTTTTTTTTTTGGATTAGGTGCATTAAGCAAAACAAAACAGTCAGATAAGTCAAACTTTACTCAACTCATTCCTCTTGCTTCCCCTACTCCTCATTGATTCTTTAATGATTCATTAATGTTGAATTCTCTGGCAGCTGCTCTATTCCCGTGTTGTTGGCCTGAAAACAGGGTTTGATATTTGGTTTCATTCTATAATACTGGACTTATTTTTCTACGAAGATTTGAACTTTGAGAGTTTAAACAAGACAGAAAAGTGTGAAAATGTTCATGCCTGTCTGAAAAAAGTGTATAAAGTGTGTAGTGATGGGTTTTACAGCCTTAAAACACCTATAATAATTGTAAAAAAAAGAAAGTATTGTACAGGGAAGGTGCAAAAAGCCATGGAAATTCATGGCATCAGCTGAAATCTATCAGTAATTAGAAATCAGTCCTGCCACTTAGTGCAAATGAACACCAGCTGCTTCAGTTCCAACTGATGGCCTGTAAATGGTGCGACATTACCAAGGTGTCGCACACGAAACCTCTCATGACGGGTAAAACCGCTGAGGTCTCCTATGACCTTCACAACCCTGTTGTTTCATAACATGCTGATGGCATTGTTACAGAAGAAATGATTAAACACTGAATGTCCCATTGAGCAGTGTTGGATCTATAACTGGGAAGTGGGAAGAACATTATTTCACCATAAACTGGCTGTGACCAGATCCTCCCTGCCTTGTTTCAGACAGAGGAGTGAATAGAACTATCAGTTATCCAAGAGCCAAGGAGCAGTTGTGGAGAGCTGCAGAAATACCTGGAATCCGCAGGTAATGACTGGTCTTGTTTTAAAGAAAATGATAAGTGATGCAGTCAAGTGCCTTGGCAAGTATGCACATCCACCACGCAAAAACATCCTTTAAAGTTTGTTGAGCAACATTTAAATAAGCCTGTGAAATCCCAGAAGAATGGTCTGGTAAACGTTGAACTCTGCCATAATACACGCATGTTTGCAGATCAAAAATCACCAAAAACACAACATCAAAAGAAAAGTTTGGAAGTGTGGGGCTGTTTTTCAGAATATGACACTGGCATGGTTCATATAATTGAAGAAAGGATGAATGGAAATGATTACACATAATTTATGGTTTAATGTCTTTGCGTGTGTGGTCTGGACAGGCTGTTTCCAACATTTGATGAGAATTCCATGTCACCTTTAGAAAGATATTTACTTAGAGAATTGGTGATATGTTCAATACCTTTTTGCCTGCTGTAGACTCACAATCCCTGGAAAGACTTTCGTCTAAAAAGGAGTGGCTTGCTGAGATGTTTCTCTCCTCTATCCTGCAGGTAGTGATCATCGTGTCTTTCAGGCTTTGGCTGATGGGAGGATCCATGCCGCTTTTTTCTGAACAAGACAATCCCACCTCCTTCTCACCTCACTTTCTCACCAGGTCAGCATCACACTCAGATGGAGACAGAAGAATCTGGTATTGAACATTTTATCCTAAAAAGTCTTCTAATATCCATATAACTTGTTTCTAACATTGAAATATTGTCCGGTAAACCATAAATACATATATATGGTTTTTATATCAGTGGTGGACGGGAGTGGAGGCCTGGCGCTACTGAACTATCTGATACACGGGGAAAAACAACTTGATGTGTCCAGGCAGCCGATTTATGCTACATCATTGATTTATGACAAGCCGCTTACAAAAATGAACAATAGGAGCGTTAACTAACCCTGATCCTGTTTGGGGTTTTTTGTGCATTGTGTTTAAGTAGCCACTAATGATAAGACTTATCATTATTGCACAAGACAGAGATTGGAAATAAATAGAAAATAAAACACTTAAGAAGACATAAAAATAAAAAAATTGATATAGGAATACTGGCACTGCAAGGAGATCAAAAGGAGGGATAAAGAAAATTAAAAATGGAAAGCAGATCAGCAAGTCATCAATAATTAAATATAAAATAATAATTAAAATTGATCAGGGAGGGCTCAGGGAGGGGCGGGGCCATCTGCTGTCATTGGTTAGGGGGGGAAGACAGGATAAAGACATGCTGTTGAAGAGAGACAGAGATTAATAACAGATATGATTCAATGCAGAGAGGTCTGTTAACACATAGTGAGTGAGAAAAGTGACTGGAAAGGAAACACCCAGTGCATCATGGGAATCCCTGGCAGCCTACGTCTATTGCAACGTAACTAAGGGAGGATTCAGGGTCACCTGTTCCAGCCCTAACTATATGCTCTCTCTTTCTAGTCAGTACTCTTGCTGCAGCATTATGGAATAATTGAAGGATTTTCATCCTGACTTCCTGATAATAATGAATTACAGCTGTCCAACCTCGAAGTAATAAATGCATGAACTAGTTTTTCAGCGTCACTCTGAGACAGGATATTTATTACATATTTGTTTAATATGTGCCTTAAGTATGTAAATGGTAAATGGCCTGTATTTGTATAGCGTTTTACTAGACCTCCCAACTCTTGAGCCACGATCACCCATATATATATATATATATACACACACACACACACACACACACACACACACACACACACACACACACACACACACTTTGGTGTCACGGTTCGATATTTTTTCGATACAAAAAAAAATGTTCATGCCTTTTTAATTTGTCATTTATTAAAATTATAAATATATATTTTAACTCAAAAGTACAGTTTTTAAATTTAACCCTAACCCTTGTGCGTGTTTTTTATTTTGACAGCGAATGCGCACCTGCGGACCACTTATGTGCAGCCCTGGTTATATAGCTCATCATATCGCAGCCACAGAAATGATTTTGTCCATGAAACCATAAAGCTGCACTTTCTTTTTGCCTTATAGTCTGATTTGTCATAACTTTTCTGTTTTGTGGTAAGCTTTTCTTTGGCTGTCACTTCTTCACCCTGACCAGTCTTATTTGGCTCAGCAGAACTGAAATATATATCCTGCTGCTTTTACACACTTTTTTCACACCATAGACAATTGCCTATGCACTCAGACCAAAAGGGGCTGAATAATTACGCAGACCCCACTTTGCTGTTATTTATTTGTAAAAAATGTTTGAAATCATGTATGATTTTCGTTCCACTTCTCACGTCTGCACCACTTTGTGTTGGTCTTTCATGTTACCCATGTATTTTGGATTCCATAAGGATGTACTTAGTTTTTCACAGGACCACATGAAGTCCTTTGAAAACCTTCTTTTTGGCAAGACTGTGTGTTCTCTTATTAGCACGTGTGCTCCGTGCACAGCATTTAACAGTGAATGAAATTCTCATCTGGTAAACCCTGTATACTGTAGTAAAGTTTGACATTTATTTATTATTTATTCTTATTTTTATATTGTATCTAGTTTTAATTAATGTTAATGTATCTGCATATGTTTATCAATATAAATCAATATAAAGCACCATAACCTTTTTTGTATATGAACTGGCACAAATCACTGCACATTTTGATTGACTGGTTGACTGATCAATTGTTTTATTTTGAATATGTAAATAGAAATAACAACAAGCAAGAAAATACATTGTAAATTCAAAACAACATAGAAAATAAAAATAAAGTTCCCACAAATATACCACAAAATATATATACTTAAAAAAGGAGTAGAATGAAGTTTACATTATTTAGCTGGCTGTAGCTCAGGTGGCAGAGCAGGTCAGCCACTAATCAGAAGGTCGGTGGTTCGATCCCAGGCTGCCTCGTGGCTGCATGCCAAATATCCTTGGGCAAGATACTAACCCCGTGTTTGCCTACTGGTGGTGGTCAGAGGGCCCGGTGGCGCCAGTGTCCGGCAGCCTCACCTCTGTCAGTGCGCCCCAGGGTGGCTGTGGCTACAATGTAGCTTGCCATCATTGTGTGAATGTGTGTGTGAATGGGTGAATGACTGAATGTAGTGTGAAGCGCTTTGGGGTCCTTAGGGACTAGAAAAGCGCTATACAAATGCAGGCCATTTACCATTATTCCTACCCACTGGTGGTGTCAGCATTACTTGGAAAAATCTAAAAGAGTTGAGGTTGTAACACATTAGTGCCCATAGTTTGGAAGTATCCAAAGATGCTTTCTGCCAAAAGATTGAACCACTTTAACGTCCTAACAGGCTTTGAGGATCAAATTAATTATTACTGACATATCAAACACATTGCCTCTTGAATTTTGTAATTTATAAAAGCAGACAGCAAAGTCTGGGTGCCAAATTACTCTTTCAATTAAGAGGTGTTTTAGCCTTCAATGTCCTGTTTGTCAGTTCTCACTGTTGAGTTTTGCTGTTTTAATAGAAGCAGGTAGCTACAACAAATCTTCAGAATTAATACATGAGTCACACAGGTTTGATAATAACTGTTGTTGAGGTTTAAATTTATAATCTTAAATGCTTATATGTTGATTATATTGCTTTATATAAGAAAGGCCTAAATCTGAGTACACTCTGTGCCAAAAGTGTTGACAGGAAACGACATGGTTTTGCAGAAGCATGGTAACTGCAGTAGAAAGTGAAACCAACTAGGCTGTTCGATCGAAACTTAAAGTGTGGTGTGACGTAGAGAGCAAGTATATAAATAACTAGGCTTCCGTTTGTGCTTCAGACCTGGGGTTGTGTGTTTTGTGTTCAGGTCTCCATATCCCAGATATGTAAAATTAAAGATCATTGTTTCAGTTTGACCACTCTGAGCCCTGTGTCTTTCTTGGCCGTAAAGAACACAAAAGAACTGGGATTTAATACTGTGCTGCACTTACAAAAGGGGAGAATACAAAGACTAAATCAGAGCAAACATGAACACCAGCAGCAACTGCAGCATGACTCTTTTAAAGACGTTTAGGATTCAGTATACCATGATCTGCTATAGGTTTCTTTGACTGGGCTTTAAATGTCAGTTTATTAGATTATTCTAAATTAGTTGTAACCTTAGACAACCAAGCATCTATTATATCTTTGTCCTTTTCTTCTTTTTTCTCTAACCTCTCTCCACAGGTTTTTAACCTACTCATATTTGCTGTCCTTTAATGCCTGGTTGCTGCTGGCCCCCATTGTGCTGTGTTATGACTGGCAGGTTGGCAGCATTATGTTGGTGGAATCGCTGGGTGATGTGCGCAATGTGGCCACTATGCTGCTGGCTGTAGTGATGATTGCTTTATGCCTGCACTGCATCTTTTCACTGCAGGTAAGAACAGAAATGTAGTTCAAAAAAGCTTTAGATCACATTTCCCATGATCTCTGCTGCCTTGTGAATCTTGTCTGCCCTCAAATGTGTCATTTAAAGGGCATAAAAGTTTTTTAGGGATGAGTACAATAACCTCAGTTCTATCTGTATTTAAGAGCAGAAAATTGGAGGCCTTTATGTCTTTAAGACATTCCTGCAGTTTAACTACTCTAGTTTTCGGGTCATAAGCTGCTACTTTTTTCCCACACTGTGAACACTGCGGCTTATACTGACGTGCGGCTAATGCATATCTTTTTTCATGCGGTCAAAAACATTTTGCCTGGTAATAGTAGACCAATAAAATTGATAAGTAGTATATATACGGTATATATTTTTACCGGTTGTTAAGAGACGTTGTAATGTTGTTTGTGCACTGTTCCGTAAAAAAACCATAAGCAGCGTAATTTGTGTGTTACCAATACGTACGTATACTTACAGGTAGCCGTGTTACAGGCGCTGTTCGAGGGGAAAAAAAGCATTTGCAGTATGTATTTTTGTATGTTACTATGTTTATATTACCTTACGGATTAAATTAAACGGTAAAAATCCTCAGGTGTAATATTTCTGTATACAAAATTAATTTTCTTTCTAAAATTACAGCATGTGGCTTTTAATTAGGTGCGCTCTGTAGTCCGGGATTTACGGTAATTGGTGTGTGTTATCTGGCTTCATGGACAGATAGAGCTGGGTGTCATCTGCATAGCAGTGTAAATGTATGCTATGTCTTCTAATGATGCTGCCTAAGGGAAGCATGTATAATGTAAACAGAATTGGTCCTAGCACTGAACCCTGTGGAACTCCATAATTAACCTCAGTGTGTGAAGAGGACTCTCCATTTACATGCACAAACTGGAGTCTATTAGATAGATATGATACAAACCACTGCAGTGCAGTACCTGTAATACCTACAGCATGTTCTAATCGCTCTAATAGGATATTATGGTCGACAGTATCGAACGCTGCACTGAGGTCTAGCAGGACAAGCACAGAGATGAGTCCACTGTCAGAGGCCATAAGAAGATAATTTGTAACCTTCACTAAAGCCATTTCTGTGCTAAAATTTGACTAACACTAACACTCAGTGATTTGTGTATTTTAGTTTTATTCTTTGATTTTTGTATGTTCTTAGTGTTTCCTGTTTTATTTTGAAAGAGTCTGTTGTGTCTTTATCTTTGTGTTTAGGTTCACTTCCCCTGTAACGTCATTGGGTTCATTTGTGTCAGCTATTTCCTTCCCCTGATTACCCCTAGTGTGTATGGCTGTATCCCAATTCAGGGTCTGCAGCCTTAACGGTCCACAAGGGCCGCGTACTCAAAGACCGCTAAGGCCGGAAGTGCGAGGCTTCTGAAATGGGACGGTCTAGCCTCCGTCGCGCTGCCCAGGTTGCCTAGCAACCATGACACTAACAGCTGGAAACGTTTCAAACAGCTTTGTTTGACAGAAATGAAGGAGAAAATATTTGTTCATTTGTTTGTTTGTTTCTACATGAGCTTTGATTAGTTGAGTATCTGAGGCTGAGACCACAGGACTGTAAAACATGATTGTTGGGCTTCATTTCTGTACTGAACAGTCATTTATGTCACGATCCTGGGTCTTATGACCCTGTGTTTTGAGTTTTGGTTCTTTTGATGTTTATAGTGTATGTTTAAGCTTATTAGGTTTCCTATGTTCATTTGCTTATTAGCTCCCCCTTGTGTTTTCAACCCCTGTGAAGTCTCCCTTTCCCTTCGTGTGTTTCATGTCTGTTGTCTTATGTTGTCATGTCTGCCTCTCATGTTTCCTGTTTTATTTTGAAGAGATCTCGTGTTTTTATATTATGGATTATGTTTTGAGTCCTTTGTTGTACTGTTTCTTGTTTCCCTAGATTTCAGTTATGGTTATCATAGGTTTAGTTCTTTGGCTTTGTAATATGGCTTCCCTGTGTTCAATGTTGTGTCTACTGTGACCTCTTTGTACCATGTTTCTGGTCCCTATAGTCTGTCTTCTCAGTTGCTGTTAAGTTTGCATGTTTAGAGTTCAGTCAGTGTGTTTCCTGTTTTACTTTGAAGGTCCATGTCTCATGTGAGTGTTTCTAGCTTTGCTTCCCTTGTCTCGTCCATGCCTGATTACTCCCAGCTGTGCTCTCCTTCTGTGTCTCATTCCCTCGTTATCCCTCTGTGTATTTAAGCCCTGTGTTTCTCTTTGTCAGTGTTGTAGTCTCCCTCATGGCTGTGTTTCCCTGTGTGTTAGTTAGCCATGTCCCAGTTTAGTTTTCCATGCCATTCTGCAATAAAGCAGCTTTTGAGTTTAATTTTGTTGTCGTGAGTTTTGCGTTTGGGTCCTTCTCCTGCCTGTACACAGCCGAAACATGACAGAAGACTACGACCATTACATGGACCCAGCAGACAGTGAGCTGTATGAGCGCCAGGAGGCAGCCCTCGCCCAGCTGGAGGAGGAGCTCCGCTGGAAGCCGTGGCGCGCTCCGGATTTTGAGCACATATTCCGCGGAACTCGGCTGGCTTTTGGAGGTCCCCGAAGTTGCCAAAAGCCTCCGCCTGTTGCCCCGGTGGGAGGTGGGAGTGCTCTGTTTTTCTTCGGATGCTCACGCTCCAGCCTCTGCCTTGCCGTCCCGCACGTCAGAGGCTCAGCTGTATGCCCCGTCAGCTTCCTCTCCTCAGAGGAAGCGACGCTCACGCCGCCGTCACTTTTCACTTGCTGAGCAACTCCCGGTGGTGAGTTATAATGACTGCCTTTCACACATCCCACCTGAAGCCATAACTGAAAAGGACAATAAACTCACCCCAGACACTGTTGGAGTCTCCCTTTTGGATGATGACATAGACTGGGAAAAGTTTTTTCATTTTGCTCCCTTTGAACAGGGAGAAATCACAGACAATAAGCACTCGCCAAAGGCTGTAAATGCTGTTAAAGGAAAAACTGAGCAATGTCACCAGGTCTAAAACATTCAGTTCAGGTTCTGTCAGTTCAGGTTTTGTCAAGTCTGGTTCAGTCATCCCCAAGTCAGCTCACTCTAAGACTGTTAACCCGAGGACGTCAAAACCTGCTAAAACAAAGACTGAAAAACATTGTGGGAAAAATGCTAAGTTCATTTTTGATAGGTCTGTTTTTGTCGACCCGGTACATATTAACCCTAAGCCTGCCAATTCTAAGACTGTTTTTTCTGAGCCTGCTCCTTTGCCTGCTCGTGTTCCTGCTCCTGGGGCAGCTCGGGCCCAGCGTGCCCCTTCACCCGTACCAGTTCCTCGGGTGAGGGAGACTGAGGTCCAGTTGGTCCCTGCTCTGGTTTCCAGGCCAGCTGAGGCTCTGTCAGTTTCTGCACCCGTACCAGCTCCTCGGGTGAGAAGGGCAGTTGCCCAGCCGTTGCCGGTGCCTGTCCCGGCTTCCAGGGTGAGGGGGGCTGTGAACCAGTCCACCCCTGCACCCATGCCGGTCCCCAGGGTGAGGTCAGCCAGGATACAGCCCGTCTCCGCACCCGTACCTACTCCTCGGGTGGGAGCGGCTAGTGTCCGGCAGGTGCCTGCACCTGTTCTTGTTTCTGCTGAAGGCTCAGGCAACCCCCCCCCCCCCCCCCCCCCCCCCCCCAGCAGTCCTCCCTGTGTTCCAGAGGCTCAGGAGAGTTCAGTCCACAACCATCGCCACCATCACTACTGCATGCTTTTCAGTCTATAGCTCAGTCATTAGCTCTGTTAGCAGCCCAGTCCATAGTTCATTTTCCTGTGTTTCCGTTAGCTCAGCCGTTAGCCCACTGTGCAGCTCAGCCAGCTCCCCAGTGTTTAGCTCAGTCATTTGTTCCATCACCCGCTCAGCCTTCTGTTCAGCCAGTAGTCTCTGCACCTACTGGTCCTGCCACTGCTTCAGCTGGAGGGCCCGAGGAGCCCGTCCAGCCTCATGCCACGTCAGCTGGAGGGCCCGAGGAGCCCGTCCAGCCTCATGCCACGTCAGCTGGGGGTTCAGGAGAACCGCACCAGCCTCATGCCTCGTCAGCTGGAGGGCCCGAGGAGGCCGTCCAGCAACCTTCCTCGTCCGCTGGGGGTTCTGGCGAGCCCGTCCAGCCACCTGTCTCCGCTGGAGGGTCCGAGGGGCCCGTTCAGCCTCCTGTCTCCGCTGGAGGGTCCGAGGGGCCCGTTCAGCCTCATGCCACGTCAGCTGGGGTTTCAGGAGAACCGCACCAGCCACCTGTCTCCGCTGGAGGGTCCGAGGGGCCCGTTCAGCCTCCTGTCTCCGCTGGAGGGTCCGAGGGCCCGTTCAGCCTCCTGTCTCCGCTGGAGGGTCCGAGGGGCCCGTTCAGCCACCAGCTGCTCCACCAGCAGCCTCATCCACGTTTGCAGCAGCCGTGTCTTCACCCACGCCAGCTGCGGCCTCCGTGTCTCCGCCCACGCAGTCGCCTGGTCCAGCTTCGGCTTCGGCTTCATCAGCGTCGCCTGGTCCAGCTTCATCCGAGTCGTCATCCTCGTCTGGTCCGGCCTCGGCCTCTGCTTCAGCGTCGCCTGGTCCGGCTTCTGCGTCTGCTTCGCCTGGTCCTGTGGCTGTTATGCCACCGCCCAGGCCACGTTCTGCACCTCGGAATTACCGGCCACTCTCAGGGCCACCAGCTGGACGTCATCACCGTCGAGGTCGGCCGCCGGAACTGTTTCTACGCCGCTGCCGTCCGCACGGTTGGCCCCCGGAACTGTTTGACCATGAACTCCTGTGCCGTCGGCCTCCGGGCCGGCCCCCTGATCAAATGAACTATGAATTTCTGGACCGTCACCCTCCGGGTCGGCCCCCTGAGGAGTTATGAACTGTTCCCTGCGCTCCTGTGCTTTTGATGGACATTTTATTTGTGTTTCCATTCACTCACTGTCAAGGCCTCTGTTATTCCACACCATACTCATCATAGTTTTCAGTTTTTCACAGTTTCATAGTAGTTCATAGCCTGTACTCAGTTTAGTTGTCTTTTTCTGTTTTTCTTCTTAGCGTTTTTGTTTTTTGCCTTCATTCAGCCCTAATAAAGGCTCACTCTGTCTCCTGCAGTGTCTGCTCTTGGGTCCATTTAAAAAATACCTTGGTGCACCACACCGTGGCAAATTTTTTCCTCTGCAGATGATCACTTAGCCTTTGAAATAAAGGGAAGGTTGGAAATTGTGAATGTACACATATAAGTTTTTCTCAAACATTTTGTATTTAATTCACTGGAATTTAAGTGACAGAGACGGTCCTACTTCACTGTCTGGAGAACAAGTCTGGTACAAACAACATGAATTCAAGTTCAAATGTTGTTTGTACCACACTGCTTTCAGAACTGCACGTGATCATTTGCAGCTAGCGGGTTGTTAATGTTAACTGCAGTAAACTGTACCGCCTAATAGAACAGGGCGATATGGCCAAAAATATTTATCACGATATATATTTGAAAATTTGTGATAACGATATAACTGACGATATAATTGATGCGAGACAAAATACAACTCCACAACATTACTAGCGCAAAAAGACAATCTTCCATTTATTTTCACTTAAACAAGAAGCTGGTTTTTATGTACATTAAAGCTTTATAAAAATGTAACAGTGCAAATGCAAATTCCTTGCTGAAAGTTTAACCAAAAGGCATTTCCAGTGAAAATGGGCTGACATATCCTGAGCATAACCATGTATAATATCCACTGAAGTTAAAAAGAGGTGCTTTGCAACATTAAACTGCAGTGTGCAGTACGTATTTTTCGGACCATAAAGTGCACAGGATTATAAGGCACATTAAGCGAAACAAAGCAGTCAGATAAATCAAACTTTATTAAACTCATTCTTCTTGCTTCCTCCACTTCTGTACCATTGATTCATTAATGTTGAATTCTCTGGCAGCTGCTCTATTCCCATGTTGTTGCAGTATATTAATGACTAACCTCGTATTGTGGATGGATTATCTCAGTTGTTCTCCTGACTGAAGATTGGTCCTTTTACAGCATCCTGCCATGCGATTGCATTTGTCTCTAACCATGAGGAACCTTAACGTTAACTTTTATAAGTGGAAAAGTGTTAGTGTTCGTCCTCCAGCTTCACTGTTTATGTTATGCTAACATAGCTGTGTCGCTAGCGATCACGTAGCACATGATTATATACCAGCTAGCCCAACTTCAGTAACCCTACAAACGTCACTGCTGTTTAGTTTCCTGTCTTCATTTATGTTGGAAGTGATAGCAGAGCTGTACGTTTGATTTTTTTCAGAAATCTCTCAGTCAAAACATGCAATATCATGTTTAGGTAACTAGCGAAACTAGCGAGCTAACTTCCGCTAGCTTCCTGCTAACTTCTAACTCCGTTAAATGTAATAAATTTTGTTTTCATGGATGCCTGGAAGTTAAACTTCATAGTTACACCTGGTAAAGCAGCAATGCTGATTGTTTTATTAAAGATGAAAGAATTTAGACAGTTTTTAACTCTCAGTGATGCTGCAGTGTTCGTTTGAACTGAGGAGTACGGAGTTTAGGACCCAGATTACTCCCAGATTTAAGAGCATCTTAGTCCGACAATAACGACGGCCGCTTGCATGTTCTGCAAAAAAATGTGCTTTGTCGTGTATTTGACGGACAAACACCAAACCAGTTCCACATCACTGAAGTTGCACCATTTGTACAAACCAATTCTGGTTCATCTGTTTCACTCAACAATCGGCCATGTGCGTATGAAAACAAAGGCACTGTGCATGCGCGTTTCACTCATATTCTATCGCGATATTTCATTTTCCTATCGTTGCCTAACATTATACCGGTATTACCGTGAACGGTATAATATGGCCCAGCCCTACCGCCTAACAATATATTTGCACAATTAAAAGTTTGACAGTTTAACTGTTACTTAGCTTCTATAGATGTACGGATAGGTATCAGTGGATTTATACTGACACTGAAGTAAACAGTGATGTTCCTCAGCAAGTCCTAAGGAAATCTTTTTTTCCTCCAGTTTAAATTTGTGGATAACTGACATGCTGACAATGGAGCTAATCTTCAGGAGGTGATATGTTTCATGAGTTTTAAATTGTGTGTATTGTGTTTGTCTTGGTAGACGTTTGTTGACTTTTGGTCCCATTTTGTAGTAACTCAGCCTTACAGATATATTCTTCTCTTCCACCTCCTCAGAAACAGTGGATTATGATCTGATACGTCTGCTCTTCCTTTCTTTCACCCTTTGATTCTATGCCGGTCTTCAGTGTTGATAAATAAATAGTCTGTTCTCAAGTGTATTTGATGTGTTATTGAGTAATGTACATAGTTTTTCTGCCAAATGAATAAACTTCTCACACATGGTGTTTGAAGCTTCTTCACTTGGAACTTTTTGGTTTGATTTGTTTGCTGTGACTGTGCTCATCTCTCTCTCTTTTTCCACAGAGGCGAGACAGTAGGGAGGTGTTGGTGGGATTGTTGTTTCTGGTGTTTCCCTTCATTCCTGCCAGTAACCTGTTCTTTAGGGTTGGATTTGTCGTGGCTGAAAGGGTTCTCTACATGCCGAGGTGAGTGCGTGTCAGACTATTGGCAATTGATTACTAATTGCACAGCTCTACATCTGATGTTTGTTTGCTTTAAAAAACAATGATATCTTTTTGTGGAGATGGTTTGCCTTGGTCTAATAAATTACCTTTGACACAATGTGATATTCAATAATAATAATAACTATTATTATTGTTATTATGATGATTATTATTACCTCTTAAGCATTATTTAGCTTTTCAAAAATAAGCCACAAAAAGCTCAATTAGAATTTGTATGTTAGGAAAACAAAAATAATAAATCACAGATTTAAGCTTTAGCCTTAATGTAAACATATTCTAGCATTTCTCATCTTACCTGACAAACCAAGTGCTCTGTCACGGGACCGAGTGGTCTGTACTGAACTGAACTCAGGCGCAGAAACCCAGAACAGAGACGAGACAGCAGGTGGTTTAACAATATTTTATTAGACTTAAGCTCTGTAAATGTGGCAAGGACAAAAGCAATAAAACGTAGAGCTTGGCGCGGCCTGGAAAAAGTGGCTAGGGGAATGCAGAACTAGGGCGAGGAAACGGGGCCTAAGATGCAGACTGGAGCTGGGCAGGAAACAGTCATATTGCAGTAGGGGAGACAGAGTGTTGAGAGGGGGGGTGACGAGAATCCAGGGGAGCTGAATGGCGTGGAAAGGCTGACCTGAGATCCGGTGTCTTCAGATGGAGTGTGATGGCGGGCAGGCAGGTGAGGCATAGAGTGATTTTCAGAATGATGGTATCCTGAGTCCGAAGGGAGAGCACGAGCCAAGACAAATCCAGGAAATGGGTCGATGACAAACTGGCGTTAAATGAATGTCAGCATGTGGCTTAAATCACTCTGGCTTGATTGCCTGCAATTGGCTCCAGGTGTGCAGGAGCTGGAGGAGGTGGCCCTGTCCAGGGGCGGATCCCAGGTAGGTTCAGGAGCCTCATGGAAATTCCAGCCATGACATGCTCTTTGTCCTTCACCTGTATTCGTCTTTTTCTTCTGGCCTGTTAGTACTTTTTTCAGAAGGACTTTGAGTCCAAATGGTTTTTTAAACTTATATTTGGAAAAAAACAAGCAAACCAAAAACTACTTTTCAGCTACCCGCTTGTTTTAGCCTCAGCATCGCGTTTTATTTTGCTTTAATTTATTTATTTATAAACCCCCTTTTCTGGATTCATCCTTGGACCATGGACAATAATTTAAGTTCCTTCAGTCAAAACTTTCTCCTTTCTTGTCTTAGTGGTGTAGGCTTCTCTCTTACAACATAATCACAAGTCTCTTCAGTTTACTTCAAGGTAAACTTTTTTCCTTATATAGGGTTGTGGGTTGTGGCTGTATACAGCTAGTATGTACAGGATGGGCCATTTATATGGATACACCGTAACAACATGGGAATGGTTGGTGATATTAAAGTCCTGTTTGTGGCACATTAGTATATGTGAGGGGGCAAACTCCTCAAGATGGGTGGTGACCATGGTGGCCATTTAGAAGTCGGCCATCTTGGATACAACTTTTGTTTTTTTCAATAGGAAGAGGGCCATGTGACACATCAAACTTATTGGTAATGTCACAGGAAAAACAATGGTGTGCTTGGTTTCAACGTAACTTTTCTGTTCTTCACAAACCTCCCACTGCTTCCTTCCTCTTCTCTTTCTTCCTCCTTCACTGTCTGTCCTCTCGCAGCATGGGTTACTGTATCCTGGTGGCTCATGGACTTGGTCGTCTGTGTTCGTCGGTTGGCCGTTGGGGCACCGCAGTTCTCAGTGTGTCCATGCTGCTACTGGTCCTGCTGTTCTCATGGAAGACTGTCCATCAGAACAATGTGTGGCTCTCCAGGGAGGCCCTGTTCCTGTAAGAGTTCCTGTGTACTTTAGTCACAGTTATCAGCTCACACTGAAGTTTTAGATCAGCAGAGAGATCTACTCCATCAAAAGAGTGCAATCTGAAAATATAACGGATGACATGCTAAGAAATCTAAGAAAACAGACTCTATGACTCCAGCTCTGCTGCAAGGTGAAACTACTCATATACAGTGGGGCAAAAAAGTATTTAGTCAGCCACCGATTGTGCAAGTTCCCCCACTTAAAATGATGACAGAGGTCAGTAATTTGCACCAGAGGTACACTTCAACTGTGAGAGACAGAATGTGAAAAAAAAATCCATGAATCCACATGGTAGGATTTGTAAAGAATTTATTCGTAAATTCGGGTGGAAAATAAGTATTTGGTTACCTCAAACAAGGAAAATCTCTGGCTCTCACAGACCTGTAACGTCTTCTGTAAGAAGCTTTTCTGTCCCCCACTCGTTACCTGTATGAATGGCACCTGTTTGAACTCATCATCTGTATAAAAGACACCTGTCCACAGCCTCAAACAGTCAGACTCCAAACTCCGCCATGACCAAGACCAAAGAGCTTTCGAAGGACACCAGGAAAAGTATTGTAGACCTGCACCAGACTGGCAAGAGTGAATCTACAATAGGCAAGCAGCTTGGTGTGAACAAATCAACTGTGGGAGCAATCATCAGAAAATGGAAGACATACAAGACCACTGATAATCTCCCACGATCTGGGGCTCCACGCAAGATCTCATCCCGTGGGGTCAAAATGATCATGAGAACGGTGAGCAAAGATCCCAGAACCACACGGGGGGACCTGGTGAATGACCTGCAGAGAGCTGGGACCAAAGTAACAAAGGTCACCATCAGTAACACACTACAACGGCAGGGAATCAAATCCCGCAGTGCCAGATGTGTTCCGCTGCTGAAGCCAGTGCATGTCCGATGCAGGATGTCGGATTCAGACGGGCCTGTCTGAATCCGACATCCTGCATCGTCCCGGTCCCCAAAAGGAACCGGCCCAATGAGCTGAATGACTTCCGACCGGTGGCACTGACGTCACATCTTATGAAGACTCTAGAGCGGCTCTTCCTCAACCTCCTCCGACCACAGGTACAACATGCCCAGGACCCACTACAGTTTGCATACAAGGCGGGTGTCGGAGTGGAGGATGCCATCCTGTACCTCCTACACAGAGCCCACTCACACCTGGATGGGGGAAAAGGCACGGTCAGGATCCTGTTTCTTGACTTTTCCAGTGCCTTTAATACCATCCGGCCCTGTATGCTTCAGGAAAAACTGAACAGGATGGAGGTCGACCCCTGCCTGGTGGCTTGGATCTCCGACTACCTCACCGACAGACCACAGTATGTCAGGCTGAAGGACATCACGTCTGACACTGTGGTCAGCAGCACAGGAGCACCACAGGGAACTGTGCTGTCCCCTCTTCTCTTCACCCTGTACACCTCTGACTTCTGCTACAACTCTGAATTATGCCATATTCAGAAGTTTGCAGATGACACGGCCATCATGGGGTGTATCTGGGATGATCAGGAAGAGGAGTACAGAAGTCTGGTGAGGAACTTTGTCGCATGGAGTCACACAAACCACCTGCAACTCAACACCTCAAAGACTAAGGAACTGGTTGTGGACTTGGGAGGTCCAGAGAAGGTCCACTGCCGGTTCAGATAGAGGGGGAGGAGGTGGAGGTGGTCAAGTACAAGTACCTCGGGCTGTGGGTGGACAATAAACTGGACTGGTCATGCAACACAGAGCACCTGTATAAAAAAGCCCAAAGCCGACTGTACTTCCTCAGGAGGCTGAGGTCTTCAAGGTTCAAGGTTCTTTATTATTTGTCACATGCATAGTTATACAAGTATAACACACAGTGAAATGTAGCCTGACACGCTCCTCGACATGTGCAAAAATTGTATTAGTATATACACTGGGTGAATGTGCAGTAGTAGCAGCAAGCAGGTGAATTCTGTACATTAGTATGAATAGATATCTGACTATTTTACAGGATAGACAATATAAACATATTTAAAATTAAAGGAATTGGAATGTACATTGTGCCTTGGTTTAGTGTCTGGAAGAGTCCTGTCTCAGTCAATTATAGATGATGTGAGAGGGCGGGTGTGTGTGTTTAGGGCACGGATGGCTTGGGGATAGGGGTCTTTTAACATCTGCAGGAAGCTCCTGAGGATGTTTTACCAGTCGGTGGTTGCTGGAGTACTTTTCTATGCTGTGGTGTGCTGGGGGAGCAGCACAGCAAAGAAGGACTCATCCAGGCTGGAGAAACTGATCAGGAAGGCTAGCTCTGTGGTCGGCATGAAGCTGGACACTCTGGTGACAGTGGCAGAGAAAAGGACACTAAAGAAACTGCTGGACATTATGAACAATGCTGGGCATCCTCTGCACACGGCCATAAACAACCAGAAGAGTCTGTTCAGTGACAGGTTGCTTCTCCCCAAGACAAGAACTAACAGACTTAAAAACTCCTTTGTCCCACACGCCATCAAACTGTTTAACTCCTCTCTGGAGGGGAGAGGGAGGGGAGACAGGAGGACAAAGGAGGGGGGAACAACTAAGCTGTATTGCCTCTTCACCTCACTGTACAATACCTTGTGCAATACTTTTGTAAATAGTCAACAGTGCAATAGACTCAATACTTGAAATGTGCAATTCACTTGTCACGGTCTGGAGGGCAGACCGTGGGGGATGTAGGAGAAGGGACCCAAAACGCAGACTTAATGGAATGAACAGTGGGTTTATTTACAGTGAGGTAATTGTACACCACACATTAAATCTCCAAAAGTGCTCCCTCGACTCCCGTGACGTGTCTTCTCCCAAGTGCTGGTATCCCGTGCTCTCTGCCCCTGTGCCTTCACACACCCCGTGTGTCTTGCAGTCCTGTGTTCCGCTGTCCTCATGGAGTCTAACTCAACGATCCTGCGCCGGAGGAAGCTCCATCGCTCTGTTAAGTAGCTCCCCCGACGATCCTGATCAGAAGCAGGTGTGTGGTAAGCTAGGCGTGACCAGCAGCTGGCAGGGCCACACCCATCAGGCCTGCAGGTGGCTGTCCTTCATCCTCCAGCCTCACACACACACACACACACCAGCATGGAACACAAGAGCACAGTGCAGCAAACATACATCCAATACACTAATAACAATAAAGGTCCACACTGTTCACGAACCCCGAGTCCCCGGCACCGGGTCCGTGACATCACTTGTATTTTTATTTTTTATTCCTATTTATTCTATTGATCCCCTTTGTATATTTTATTTATATTTGTCTCTGTATTTATATATGTGTGTGTATGTGTGTGTGTGTGTGTGTGTGTATGTGTATATATATATATATATATATATATATATAACATTCTGTAACTGTAACTTCTGTCGGTGCTGTGCTTTTTTGGAAATCGAATTTCCCAGAGGAACCCACCCGAGGGATTAATAAAGTCTTATCTTATCTTAAGTTTGCCAGAGAGCACATGTATGATACAGCAGAGGATTGGGAGAATGTAATGTGGTCAGATGAAACCAAAGTAGAACTTTTTGGTGTAGACTCAACTCGTCGTGTTTGGAGGAAGAAGAATACTGAGTTGCATCCCAAGAACACCATACCTACTGTGAAGCATGGGGGTGGAAACATCATGCTATGGGGCTGTTTTTCTGCCAAGGGGACAGGACGACTGATCCGTGTTAAGGACAGAATGAATGGGGCCATGTATGGTGAGATTTTGAGCCAAAACCTCCTTCCATCAGTGAGAACTTTGAAGATGAAACGAGGCTGGGTCTTCCAACATGACAATGATCCAAAACACACCGCCCGGGCAACAAAGGAGTGGCTCCGTAAGAAGCATTTGAAAGTCCTGGAGTGGCCTAGCCAGTCTCCAGACCTCAACCCCATAGAAAATCTGTGGCGGGAGTTGAAAGTCCGTGTTGCTCGGCGACAGCCCCAAAACATCACTGCTCTCGAGAAGATCTGCATGGAGGAATGGGCCAAAATACCAGCTACTGTGTGTGCAAACCTGGTAAAGACCTATAGTAAACGTTTGACCTCTGTTATTGCCAACAAAGGTTATGTTACAAAGTATTGAGTTGTATTTTTGTTATTGACCAAATACTTATTTTCCACCCTGATTTACCAGTAAATTCTTTACAAATCCTACCATGTGGATTCATGGATTTTTTTTTCACATTCTGTCTCTCACAGTTGAAGTGTACCTCTGGTGCAAATTACTGACCTCTGTCATCATTTTAGGTGGGGGAACTTGCACAATCGGTGGCTGACTAAATACTTTTTTGCCCCACTGTAGTTGTAGTTGAAAATTCTAACCATTACTAGTTTGTGTTTAACATTTTGAGTGAAAAGCTGAATATCTGCTTTATGTTTTAGAGCAGGGGTCGGGGGGACATCACCCTGGGTCACCACACGTGAATCACATGATTAGTTCGTTACCAGGCCTCTGGAGAACTTCAAGACATGGCTGTATCTCAATTCAGGGTCTGCAGCCTTAACGGTCCACAAGGGCCGCGCACTCAAAGACTGCTGAGGTCGGAAGTGCGAGGCTTGTGAAATGGGACGGTCTAACCTTCCCCGCACTTCTCAGGTTGCCTAGCAACTATGACACTAACAGCTGGAAACGTTTCAAACAGCTTTGTTTGACAGAAATGAAGGAGAAAATATTTGTTCATTTGTTTGTTTGCTTCTACATGAGCTTTGTGTGATTAGTTGAGGCTGAGACCACAGGACTGTAAAACATGATTGTTGGGCTTCATTTCTGTACTGAACAGTCATTTAAGATTAGCTAGTAAATAACAATTAGCTCATGTTGTTCATGAGATTAAAGTTATCTCACTGTGGTAATGTAAATATAATATGGCCAATATTAAAGTTATTATATTAATCATTATGATTTATTACAGCAGTGAACTTGAACTCTGTGTCAAATACTGAGCTGCAGCAAATATTCAAGTTATTTAAATTTCCTATCACCTTAAATCTTCACTCAAAGATATGTTGGCATTACTAAATTTGGCTCAGTGCTTACATATAAACTTGTTGCTGCCTTTCATAGTGTGTAACTTGAAGGCCCTGAGTACTTTCTCCCACACTGAAAACACTGGGATGATAACATTATTTGAACATTACCTAATAAGACTGATTCAGAACAGACAGTTATTTTAAACTTTCCTAGCAGTCCTTCACAAACAGGGAACAGTCTGTCTATTCTCTCCATCTGTCAGCTGCTGCTGGCTCTTCCTCCTCCTCTTCCTCACACACTGCTGAGTTTGTCCTGGTGGATCATCAGGGCTGCAAAGCCTCACAGATGATGTACAGCAGTGGGTCCCTCAGTCTGTCCTCACTCTGGACACTTGCAGTCGTCACACATGGAAATCAAATGTGTGATAAGCTGCAGGATTCAAACACAAGTGTAACTTATAAACACATGTTCATACTTTTATTCCACAATCAGAGAGAAAGAAACAGAGAGAGAGTGCAGGACAGACAGACAGGTGACAGTCTCAGGTGTACACACTGCTACACAACAGCACCAGAGAAGCAGGATTTAGTGTTTGTGTTATTACGAGTGTAAACAAGAAGAGTTCCAGATGGTGCAGTGGACACATGTGTGACTGCTGTGATTAAAGCATCTTTCTTTCAGCTTAACGAGTGAACCGTCAGCTCGTTCAAACACACGTTAAAGTCCGTTTGGCTCGACACCACCGAACAGAGGCAGCAATATAACATAGCTAACATTAACAGTGCAGTGAATCCTGCTTGTGCCGTGATATTCAGGACTGCAAACCGAGCAGCATCACCGACTTTCAGCTTGTTGTGTTTGTGGATATATGACTGACTTTAATTATCCATAAAATCATCACATTCTCTGTAAGATTAAGGTCGACTATTGAACGGCGTATATTTTAAAGTAAAGGCTTTAAAACCAAGTTAGTACAAACATCTCTAATGTCACATAACTTTGCCGACATGTGGCCAACAGTCATGTTTAATGTTCTTCATTATTAAACATTCGCACATAAATAAGTGACATCATATTCAGTACTTACTTTTGAAAGTTTACTCTTCGGCCGCTCCGCTTCAGCTGTCCCCTGTTTTTTTCCGGCAAAATTATCCACACCCACCGCCGCGCTATGAAGTCTGGGATATGTTGGGCCATGGAGGATACACGGACCCATCCTTCAAATCCGGGGAAACGAAGGACGCATTTGAGGGCTGCATTTCGTGCAGCCTTTGAATTGGGACAGCCTTCGTCGCGTCGCTGTGACGTGAAATGCGGCCTTTAAGGCTGCAGACCCTGAATTGGGATACAGCCATGTTGAGGTCATTTTTCCGTTTGAATCAACTGTGTTGGATCAAGGACACATCAGCCTGGTGTCCTGCACCAGGAATGAAGGTTACATACACAGGACTAGGCAGGTGGCTCTAATGTTGTATCCAGTCACAATGCATATGCCAAAGATATCAGTATCTCAGCGTTATTTATTTATGACGTTTATTAAATTATAGGACCAGTGAGCTCCTAGAATTTAGCCACTGCTCAGTTACCACAGACTAGTACTGTCACACTCATCAAACCAAATTTGCACATTTGCTCAGTTTGCAGAGAACTTTCCTCAAAAAGTGTTTTTTTCCCACATGCTCTTTTTCCTTATTGTAGTTCTGGTATCCAGACGCTGCCTCACAATGCCAAAGTCCACTACAACTATGCCAACTTCCTGAAAGACGCCGGTCGGCACCAGGAGGCAATTCACCACTACACCACTGCCCTCAGGTTTTTTTTTGTTGTTTTTTTTGCACAAAACATACTTTTGCTTCTATGGAAGCGAGCAATGGACATTAGAGGAATACATAAGTACAGTAAAAAACACACAACCCATGCTGGATAAAGTGATACTAATGTGGACAGCTTTCCACTCTGCTGGCTTCACTTTCTAAACCAAGAAGCTTCCCCCATATTTTGTGTCGTCCATGGTCAAAACACATCTGATTTAGCCTCAACATTTTATGTATAAATTTATGACTTTACATGTATACATTTATGAAATGTATACATGTAAAGATATGAAGCAAATACTTTGTCAATAAAGTATTCTGATTCTGAATAATCGGGCACCATCTTATCTTAAAGACCTCATCGTACTGTGACACCCCAACAGACCGCTTTGCTCTTAGCTGGGTTGTTTACTTGTGGGTTATAGGGTATTTAAAAGTACAATGGGAGGCAGAGCCTTCAGCTGTCAGGTCCCTCTCCTATGGATCCAGCTCCCAGTCCATGATTTGGGAGCCAGACACAGTCTCTACAGAGAGTGCAGAATTATTAGGCAAGTTGTATTTTTGAGGAATAATGTTATTATTGAACAACAACCATGTTCTCAATGAACCCAAAAAAACTCATTAATATCAAAGCTGAATGTTTTTGGAAGTAGTTTGCAGTTTGTTTTTAGTTTTAGCTATTTTAGGGGGATATCTGCGTGTGCAGGTGACTATTACTGTGCATAATTATTAGGCAACTTAACAAAAAACAAATATATACCCATTTCAATTATTTATTTTTACCAGTGAAACCAATATAACATCTCCACATTCACAAATATACATTTCTGACATTCAAAAACAAATCAGCGACCAATATAGCCACCTTTCTTTGCAAGGACACTCAAAAGCCTGCCATCCATGGATTCTGTCAGTGTTTTGATCTGTTCACCATCAACATTGCGTGCAGCAGCAACCACAGCCTCCCAGACACTGTTCAGAGAGGTGTACTGTTTTCCCTCCTTGTAAATCTCACATTTGATGATGGACCACAGGTTCTCAATGGGGTTCAGATCAGGTGAACAAGGAGGCCATGTCATTAGTTTTTCTTCTTTTATACCCTTTCTTACCAGCCACGCTGTGGAGTACTTGGACGCGTGTGATGGAGCATTGTCCTGCATGAAAATCATGTTTTTCTTGAAGGATGCAGACTTCTTCCTGTACCACTGCTTGAAGAAGGTGTCTTCCAGAAACTGGCAGTAGGACTGGGAGTTGAGCTTGACTCCATCCTCAACCCGAAAAGGCCCCACAAGCTCATCTTTGATGATACCAGCCCAAACCAGTATTCCACCTCCACCTTGCTGGCGTCTGAGTCGGACTGGAGCTCTCTGCCCTTTACCAATCCAGCCACGGGCCCATCCATCTGGCCCATCAAGACTCACTCTCATTTCATCAGTCCATAAAACCTTAGAAAAACCAGTCTTGAGATATTTCTTGGCCCAGTCTTGACGTTTCAGCTTGTGTGTCTTGTTCAGTGGTGGTCGTCTTTCAGCCTTTCTTACCTTGGCCATGTCTCTGAGTATTGCACACCTTGTGCTTTTGGGCACTCCAGTGATGTTGCAGCTCTGAAATATGGCCAAACTGGTGGCAAGTGGCATCTTGGCAGCTGCACGCTTGACTTTTCTCAGTTCATGGGCAGTTATTTTGCGCCTTGGTTTTTCCACACGCTTCTTGCGACCCTGTTGACTATTTTGAATGAAACGCTTGATTGTTCGATGATCACGCTTCAGAAGCTTTGCAATTTTGAGACTGCTGCATCCCTCTGCAAGATATCTCACTATTTTTGACTTTTCTGAGCCTGTCAAGTCCTTCTTTTGACCCATTTTGCCAAAGGAAAAGAAGTTGCCTAATAATTATGCACACCTGATATAGGGTGTTGATGTCATTAGACCACACCCCTTCTCATTACAGATATGCACATCACCTAATATGCTTAATTGGTAGTAGGCTTTCGAGCCTATACAGCTTGGAGTAAGACAACATGCATGAAGAGGATGATGTGGACAAAATACTCATTTGCCTAATAATTCTGCACTCCCTGTATTTTCACCATCAAACTTAAAACTTTTCTTTTTGACAAAGCATGTAGTTAGGGCTGGTCCTAACTATATGCTGCTTTAGGCTTAGGCTGCTGGGGGCTCCCAATAATGTAATTCTTAGTAAATTCAGTTCAATTTTACTTACTGTATTTTCCGCACTATACGGTGCACTTAAAATCCTTTAATTTTCTCAAAAATTGACAGTGTGCCTTATAATCCGGTGAGTAACATTGACATATCAATAACTTCATTTGTATGAAAGTTGCGTCCTTTACTTGAACGAGTATGTAGATGGCAGTCAGAGATATATACGTGTTTAACTTGCTCTGAAGCCACCACTGACGTGTTAAAAATTTGCCTCCTCATAAAAAGCTTCATGAGGGGATGAAACATGGCTTCAGAGCGTGTCATAAGATTCACATATGCGCAAAGTTTCAGGTAGGGCAAGTGTTGTTGACACATAAGACTATTATCAGTTAATTGGAGTGTGCTGTCCAGCATTCTCCAATGCTGATTATACAAAATGTTCTTGATCAATAGCATCCTCCTCTGCTCTCAGGTTATACCCCCGTCATGCCAGCGCCATGAATAATCTTGGCACTTTGACTCGCAGCCCAGAGGAGGCAGAGATGTACTACAGGAAAGCACTGGAAACCAACCCTCAGCACAACCGAGCTCTGTTTAACCTGGGAAACCTCTTTAAGTAAGAGATACACAAACAACAAGGTTGAAACGTGACCACCACTCATCACTACTTTCTAATTTTGGTTTGAACGTTGAACTTTTGGGAACTTTTTTGAATTTATTTACTATGCCTTATTGTTCCATCAGCAACATTCAATTCCTGCTTAAAGCTTCTGTTTTCCCTCAGCTCTGAAAAGTTGAGTTCAGTTGAGTTTAGTTTTAAAACTGAACTCAGTCTTGAGTTTCATGGCAAAGGCTGTATGTGGTATTTTTTTAGTTTTTTATTCTTAATAAATTTACAAGAATTTAATTTCAGAATAAGGCTGCAACATGACAAAATGTGGAACAAGTGAAACGCTTTGAGTAGATTTTGGATCCACTGTATGAAGAGTTGGTTAGCACCAAGATAAGACCTGAATGAGATTCTGTTAGCGATGGACTGTCGTAAGCATGTAGTGCTTGTTTTATTGGATATGACTGCTGCATTCAACACTGTGCATCATGACCTGCTGATGTCTCGACCAGAGATGGGCAGTAACGCGTTACTGTAATCTGATTACTTTTAATTAGATTACCGTTACTTTCCCGTAGGAACGCTGCGTTACTGCGTTACTAAAACCATGATTTTTTTTTTTTTGCAAGAATGTCTCATGACAGTGACGTAAGCGAGTGCGCTGTTTGTGACAACAGCTGTGTGCATATCAACAATGGATCATATATCAATTGTGGGAGAGAGTATGAGCGTGCAGCGTTGAAAGCGTGGAAGTACTGACCTTACTTTGAGTTTGATTCCATAAAAAGTGACAAAAACATTAGTGTCCGCTGTGCGTGGGAAGAAAACTTTTTACAGCCAAAAAAACCCCTAAACTTCCAAGCAAGCACAGAGTGCGCAACGACGTAATGGGAAATTCACAGAGAAACTCGCGGATTCTTCCACTGACCGCGGCACACCTGCACCAGGGTAAACCTCCGCCTACCCCCAGTCCTGCTTTACAGGTTAAAATAGAGCAACAGGACCGCTGAGTCTTTGACTTTATTTATTTTCTGCTGCGTTTTACTTGCATCTATTTGAAAGAGTGAGTGTAAACACAAAAAAAAATATTTTATGTGCTGGAATGTGCAGAAAATAGGTTTAAATGTTAAACAAATTTCTTCCAGTCAGAGAATGGTGCATATAATTAAATTTTTGCTTGATGCATAAAGTTAAAAGATTAAAACTGATAAAACAAGATTTAAAAAAAGAGACTTTTCCATTTGATTACATTTTATATGATGGATTATGCAGAAAAAGTAGAATTGGGCTGAAAGATCTATCACTTTATCACCTCTTCAGGTTGTAAATCGTGTTTTTAAAAAGTAACTAAGTAACTAAGTAGTTAATTACTTTTGAAAATAAGTAATCAGTAAAGTAACGGGATTACTTTTTGGGGGAAGTAATCAGTAATTAGTTAACAAGTAACTTGACCAACACTGGTCTCGAGTACAGCATTGTGTAGGATTTTCCATCTTGGCACTTTGGTGAATAAAATCATATCTCTCTAACAGGAGCTTTTCTGTTAAGTTGGGTTCGGCTTCATCCTCTGTGGCCCCTCTGCTATGGGGCGTACCGCAGGGATCTATTCTTGGGCCATTGCTGTTTTCATTGTGTCTCCTGCCACTGGGTGTGATCTGCGACACAACGGGTAAAAGAAAATTTGAGCACATTACTCTGGTTCTAGCCTCTTTACACTGGCTTTGAACTGAATTTAGAATCTAATTTAAAATCCTCTTAGTGGTTTTAAATCCTTAATTGGTCTGGCAGGGTATATTTGCCCTGTGCCCCCCCTTGTTCATGAGCAGGTGTTGCTTTCAGTCCCTAAATCATGGCTGAAACTTAGAGGAGACCAAGCATTCTCTATGGTGGCCCGAAGCTTTGGAACGATCTTCCTCTTCACATCAGGCAGTCTACATCAGTGGTTGTTTTTAAATCCAGCTTCACAGAGTCGTGGCTAACTGCGCTAACTCCGGACTCACACGTAAACATGGATGGTTTTCATCTGATCCGGGCCGACAGAACAACGGAGAGTGGTAAGAAGAGAGGAGGGGGTCTGGCTGTGTTTGTGAACGATAGATGGTGTAACTCTGGGCATCTATCTATCTATCTATCAAAGAGACGCTATGCTGTAAGGACATTGAGCTGCTAGCGGTTAGCATGAGACCGTACTATCTGTGTGTAAACCATGAAGGTTTACACATGTCATTGTGATAGCTGTGTATGTCCCGCCCTCTGCTAGCGCTGCAGCAGCCTGCGAGGTCCTGCACACTGTAACCAGCAGACTCCAAACACAGCACCCTCAGGCCCTTTTCCTGATCTCTGGGGACTTTAATCACATCTCCCTGTCCTCCACTCTCCCCACCTTCACCCAGTATGTTACCTGCCACACCAGAGACAATAAAACATTGGACTTATTGTATGCCAACACCAAGGAGGTATACAGCTCATCACCTCTTGCTCCCCTGGGGGGCTCAGATCACAACCTGGTTCATCTCCAGCCTGTGTATAAACCTCTAGTACACAGAGAACCAGTTGTGAAAGGCACAGTTAGGAAATAGTCGGCAGAGACTGAAGAGGCTATGAGGGACTGTTTCCGTTCTACTGTGTGGGACAACCTTTGCAGCCCTTTGGAGGATGACCTCCAGCCATGGATAAATCCTGAAATTAAGGCTCTCCTCAAGAAGCCGCCAACACAGCGCCGGGGGAGCAGTATTCGGTGCATTTGAACACCTGTGGGTTCATGGGGCAAACACTCTACCTACTGAGCTATCTCCTCCTTGTAGAAACAAAATACTTTGAGCACTCAGAGTTGAAAAACACTATATAATGACGATAACAGAGTATTGCTGTTATTATGATAATGAGGATATAATGATAAAAATGCTGTTAATGGAATTGATGATGATGATAATGATGCTAATGCTGAGTGATGTCTACAGATCTCAGGGGAAGGAGAAAGAAGCTGAGGCTCTGCTCAAGGACTCAATTCGCTTTGGTCCACATTTTGCTGATGCTTACTCCAGTTTGGCATCACTCTATGCTGAACAGGTAACTCAAACCACAAACAAAAATGTACATACATTGTAATGTATCACATTCTATTACTGTGCCTGAAAGGCTGTTGTAACTCTTTTTAATCCTTTCTGATTGTTCTTTGTTCTCCCACAGAAACGCTTTTCTGAAGCCAATGAAGTTTATTTAAAAGGTATAGAGAACTGTCCCGACAGCTCCGACCTGCATAACAACTACGGCGTGTTTCTGGTGGATACGGGTGAGTTGAACCTTCCAGTTTTCCAAACGCAGGCTTACTTTAACTAAAAGATTCAAACACTGACCATATATAAGCCTGTTTTAAAGGACTTCATTTTTCTTCCTTTCAGAATTTTAAAAATGAACCCACAGCCAGAGAACTGAGCCTTAATATAATAATCTATACTGTATCAAAATTTGAGTGGGCTTCTGATTAACACCCCAGAGAAATTCACATTTAGCAACAATTTCAAAAAATGAATGTAAGTATTTGGCCCTTTGGTAATCAAATATTAAACTGGTGGAAGAAAAACGAAAAATACATATATAAAGCACCTCTATGTCACGGCGGAGCACCTGGGGGTGTTTGAGGTGTGGACCCAAAAGCGGGTTCATACCTCAAAAAATGAAGTGTAACATAAGGCAAACAGTTTATTTAGGGTGATAACAAAAACAAAGGCAAAGGCGAACTGAGGCAAAGAATAATAAACCTAAACTGGGAACAGCTAGAACAAGACAAGAAAACTGTGACATGAACCTGAACAGAAGCATGAAAAACGCAGACTTGACAAAACATGAAAAATCCATAGACATGAGGCGAGCAGACGACCTGACACTTAACAGAGGGACGCAGAGGACTTAGATACAAGGGTAACGACTAATCTGACTGAGCTGGAGCTGTTTTGCAAAGAAGAATGGGCAAGGATTTCAGTCTGTAGATGTGCAAAGCTGGTAGAGACAGACCCTAAAAGACTGGCAGCTGTAACTGCAGCAAAAGGTGGTTCTACGACTCAGGGGGCTGAATAATTACACACACCCCACTTTGCAGTTATTTATTTGTAAAAAATGTTTGGAATCATGTATGATTTTCGTTCCTCTTCTCACGTGTGCACCACTTTGTGTTGGTCTTTCACGTGGAATTCCAATAAAATTGATTCATGTTTGTGGCTGTAATGTGACAAAATGTGGAAAAGTTCAAGGGGGCCGAATACTTTTCCAAGCCACTGTAACTTAAAGTAAAACAAACCACTCAGAGGACAGGAAGACTAGTAAATAAGGAGACACAGAAGAAACATAAACTAGGCAAAAACCCAATGAAGACAAACTAATTATGATATTAGAACTTAACATTATATCAATATATAATAAGCAATAAAAATACAAAAAAACTCAAAAATGCTGGGTCACGGACTGAGCCCCTTGACACTCGGGTCCACTCAGTGGAAGAATTGTATGAGATTATCTCCCCAAAATAAAAGTTTGTGCTAAAAAACAGACCCGAGTCTGTCAAATGCTAGGGACAATGTGGTAACATAATGGCTGAGCATTACCATATATTATACCGCATATTTTGCATATGTATTAACAGAAAGAGAACAGAATGGAAATAAAAGAGGGACTGAGAAAGAAAAACATGGACAGAGAGCTACTTGTACTGGTCAATATTTTGACTGTTTTGCCCTTTTTCACAAAGTATATGCTTATAGACTGCTCAAAAAACATTGTTTGATGGACGTCTCAATGCATTCTCAATCAGGTAAGTAAATCTCCAAAGGTTGATTCTGTTGATCTGGACATTTTCAGTGGGAGAAATGTTTCATCACTCATCCAAGTGGCTTCTTCAGTCTCAGCTGACTGAAGTTTTCCCCAATCTTATAAACAGTACAGCACAATGACTGAAACCAGCCCACTAAAGGAACAATGAGCTTGGAGGTGCTAGTTTCAGTCATTATGCAAATGTACTGTACCACTGAAAACGCTACGACCAGATGAACAGAATCAACTTTTGGAGATTGTTCGATGGAAATAAAAAAATTATCAACCTACAGAGGGTTAAATTCAAAAGACACCCTACATCAAAGTCCATTTTGCAGAAATGTCATTGCAGCAACTGAAATTGTTTACGGTAGTTTGCGGCTGCTGATGGGGTTGCAAATTAATACAATGCCAATGTTCTTCACTGATAGGAAGTGACACACCAGCGTGCTCTTTAATTCACTCCTCCCCATAACACTTCTTTCCTTTCCTCCCTCTTTTCATTCATTCTTACACTTTCGTTTCCCCCAGGAGAAGGACAGCGGGCAGCTGCTCACTACCAGCAAGCTGTGCGACTCAAACCGGCACATTACGTAGCCATGGTAAACCTGGGCCGTCTGCTCCGATCGTCCAATGAGAATAAAGAAGCTGAGTCTTGGTACAAAAGGTGAGCAAAATAGTTTTTCTAAGAAGAACAAAAGTATCTGTCAGCAAAAGTACCTATCTGTGCTGCCGTGTGGCTAAAAATGAGTTTCACATACATGTTCAGAACATTCAGAATTGACAGGATCCAAAAATAATAGAATCCTCAGTGCACGACAGGAATACACTCGACAGAGCCTTACAAAACTCTGTTGTTCAGCTCCTGTCAGAAAAACTCTCTCATATGATTAGACACTCAGAGTGGCGAGTTTAACACATTTCTTCTCGTGAAAAGGAGCAAAAGTCTTTGCCAGTGCTCGTCAGGGCGATCCTGTCGAGCCTTTTTATTGTCATGGTGTGCTGTGGCAGGCACGATGTAGGACCCAAACGCAGGCCCCGGAGACAGAATGATAAACTAAAAGAGGCATCTTTATTGCACTGTAGTAAAAAGGATAATAGAAGCAAAAATCCAATCCGGACTAGACCCTGAACAAAGGGAACACGGAGCACAGGGACAGGAGTAACAAACTGCAAGATGAAACACGACTGACTAGGGAACAAGAAAATAAACATGACAGAACTAAACCTACACTAAACATGAGGGGCACAGGAACCAAAACCTAAGAACTAGAGATCATCTAGAAATACAAAACAGAAACCAAAACACTAGCAGTCATAAGCCACGATGAAAATCGAAGATCACTAATAGTACGAAATTCAAAACACTGTCACCGACCCAGGACCGTGACATTTATACATTTCTCTAATCTTGTTCTGGGAAAAGAAATGTGTCAAAAGAAATCAGTTTACTTACACATCGTGCTAGAATACTTGTAACCAATCCCCTGCTCTCTCTGTCCTGGTCGTTGTGTCCTTGGGCAAGACACTTCACCTACCGCCTACTGGTGATGGCCAGAGGGGCCGATGGCGCGATATGGCAGCCTTCTGTCAGTCTGCCCCAGGGCAGCTGTGGCTACAACTGTAGCTGCCTCCACCAATATTGCTCTGTATCTATAAATTCCAGGTCATACAAATGAATGATGAAGAGTCATCGAAGCACGTTTCTTTTTCCAAAATGCTTTTCCTGAAGTTGTTGAGTGTTGTTTCATGCCGATATCCAGTCCCCCTTTGCTATGTAACATATCACCTGTGAGGGCAGCTGTTTTTGGATCAGTATCTGTTGAGGTTTGTGCTGTGGCAGGCCCAAATGCAGGACTTGTACGTGTAAAGGTAAACTCAAAGCAGAAGTTTTATTTGCTGAGAAAAACTCTCACACTGAATACTAGAAACTCAAACCAGAAAAGTTACCAGGGACACTGAAATCACCAAATAGAATCCAAGCACAAACTTTTGGGTGTTCTAGATGTTTCCTAGATGACATCTTGGCTCATTGTGTAGACTGGGCCATCAAACTCATTTCGCGGGCCACATACAGCCCACTTTCACCTTAACTGGGACAGACCAGTGAAATTCCCCTTTCTGTAGAGAATATGTCTGTGAAGGTTCTCAGTCATCCAGGAGCTTAGAAAGAAAAGCGTCTGGACTACTTTAAGTTTCATTTCAAGGAGCTTCTTCAGCTCTGAGAGCAACTGGTGAACAGTTCCAGATTTTAAGCCCTATGGGTGTGTGTCCCTAAGAGGGGCCTGGACGCCCTATTGGTCCTCTACCTAATCACATGAGGTAAGGTGTGAAAACGATTGCATAAACTATGGATTTACATCACCCTCCCAGTCATTTTCCTGCTGCTGGCCTCCCCCTCCCAAACAGCAGTTTGAGTAACAGGTTAGAGGGTTTTTTTTCTTGTGCACGGCATCAGTCAGTGTCTGTGGAAAATGGATGGGACAGATGATAAACTCCAGCTCGAATGACGAAGCAGGAAGAAATTTCTTCAAAAGTGGGACACTTGGAGCGACAGGTTTAATGCCTTTGTTCTCTTTCAAAGGAAGAAACGACAACATAGTTAAAGTCTATGTGTGAGTGCACTTCAGGGCGATCCTGCTGAGCCTTTTTATGCGTCTCTCTGTTCATACACTTGTTCTGGGAAAAGATATGTGTCAAAAGAAATCAGTTTAGTTACACCGCGTGCTGGAATACCAGACAGCAGAGAGAGACATAGCATGGAGTGAAGCACAGACAGAGAGAGACTCCTCTTTCTGCGGGTTGTTCTTGTGGTCTGAACTAGGACTGGGCAATATGGCCCAAAATTCATATCTCGATATTCTTTAGCTGGATGGTGATATATGATATATATCTCGATATTTTTTTAAAGCCATAAAGTAAGAACAAAAAGAGAGTTCTTCGCCAAAGCTGTGTCCCAGATCTCACACAGGCACTTTTATTAACATACAGCGCAGATGTACAAGAAAAAATTACTCAGAAATAAATTATCAGCATTTATTAAATAATAATGCTCCATAAATAAAATAAAACAATGTTGTTTTTGTCCATAACAAAAAGCTCACAATTGTGCAGTCAAAATGTAAACTAACAGACGCTGGGCATAGGGCTGCTCGATATAACGATATATATATCGGATGACGATATAAAAACGTCTATCGTTTCATTTTACGCTGTCGTTTGTTTCGTGGTGTCGCAAAATAAACTGTTTACGGGAATATTTTTTTATCGTTTTGATGGTCACTGTAGTGGCTTTATTAATTTGTTAAAGTTCTCTTTCTCTTATATGTAATATAACCACACTACGGACGGACAAGCGCCTGTTTTTATGTGTTGCCGTTAGCAACAACGACAGTAAAACAATGGCATGGCTCCGCCGTCTGCTTGTTTGTTTTGCATATTAACCTTTCACAATAAAGCTGAAGATCCTGTTGAGACTCTTTAAAATAAACTGAATCACGTGAAAAATGCAGAGTATTTACGGATGAGAAGCCAAAAAGAGTCGCCAGGTGCTAAAAATAAAAATGGACAAAAGAGAGGCAAACTTGCAGCTCCACAAGTATAATTATAACGTAACATAGACTATATCGATATAAACGATATTGTCACATCTCACATCTCATATCGATATATTTAAAAACTCGATATATCGCCCAGTCCTAGTCTGAACCCAGAAATTAAATTGATATTGGCAATCAAATTACTGAAACACTTTTAAGCACGATTGCTCAGTTGTTATCACTTTGCTTTGAGGCACCTGCTGTTGTTGTGTTTTGTCATTGTTTGAATAAAATTGAAATTGAATTGAATTTTGCTTCATGCAAGGATTTCTTTGAGGAACTTTGAGTCCTTAACCGAGGCATAGACCTATAACTGGAATTAAACACTGGAGGTTCCCACTGGTCCTAATATTTAGGATGGGTTAAGAGAATAATCTTCTTATGGGGATCAAAAAGCTGGCGTCTTTCTGGGACCCTTTAAAGTTGTGACATTCAGATGAAGTACTCCAGGGTTTACAACAAGTTTGTATATATAGTGGGTCATGTACAGGTCCGAGTCCCCTGCACAGAAACCCTGATATCCATCCAACCATTAGTAAAAAAGGTTAAAATGCATAGAATAAAGTGCTTTCTTGAATTATGTGTGAATGGGTAAATGAGGTTTAATACAGTTGTTTTCAGATGCCAGTCTGTCTACCATTGAGTCTCTAATCCCCTCCATTGAAAACCATGACCTTTGACCTTTGTATGAAGGGCACTGCAGGTGACAAGGAAGGTGGACATTCTGACACCACTTGGAGCATTATACTACAACACAGGTCGCTACAAGGAGGCTTTGCAGGTGTACAGAGAAGCTGTGGCCCTGCAACCGGAGAGCACCGACATCTGGCTGGCTCTCGTGAGTAGGCATACATACTCAGACTTACTAAGAATAGCATTTAGTTTCTTGTGCGTTAGTTGGAAAGGAGACCACGTGCTAACCATAACTTGTTTCACACAAAAACTCTCTATGTATGTTTCAGGCTCAGGTTTTAGCAATGGCTGGTCGTACCAAAGAGGCAGAGAAGATGATGCTCGATGTCATATCCAGAAAAGGCAACTGCATAGAATGTTACCGCCTCCTGTCTGCAATCTACAGCAAGCGTGGCAACTACACAGAGGTAGGTATCGCGTCTGCTTTACATAAGAGCAACTGCTAATGATCTTTCTGAATCTGTTGTGTTAGCACCAGCAGCGTGTACGGCCGTCAGTGTTTATGACCCAGTTTGACAGAAGAGATGGTAAATGGACTGGTAGTTATATGGCGCCTTTCTACTCCAACTGAGCACTCAAAGCACTTTTTAGTACAAGCTGCAATCACTCTCAAAAATATTCATACAAGAGTCATCAGGACACTTGTATCCACTGACACTCCGATGCATTGGTATCTTTTTTTTTTTTTGCCTGTCCCATTTGGTTCTTTAGCCGTCAGAATTGTTGTCTGAAGACCAACAAGGATACCCAATGGATTTATTTTGCCAAATGGATCATCGTGGCATTGCCGTATTGGTCCATTTGATCGACCTTTGTTTTTATTATTTATTTTATTTTATTTTCAATTGTTACAGACGGGACAGACATGAGTCAGGGATAGGAAAGGGAGAAAGAAAGAGGAAGGAAAAGAAAAACAGAAGGGGAGAGGGACAGTGAGAAAGGGGGGGAGAAAAAATAAAATCTCCTGGATCACCTTTTGAGAGAAGAAGAATAGAAAACAAGCAAAAAAAAACCAAAGCAACATACTAAACACAACACCATCGCATTAATCTAGCTAAGTGTAAACAGCAGTAAATACTAAATATTCAATGTTGTTGTGCAGCACGCAGGACAGACAGCGCACAATGTGCTTTGAAGTAGCAGCCAAGAAAGGTGTAATTTAAGTCTACGAACAGTGAACACCCGTGTGCACACCTGTGTGGATCAGCGCGCTTGTATTCAAAAGGTTTCCACATGTAATGGTCTGCAAGAGGATGTAGAGAGCCATAGCCCCGCCCCCCAGGGCATGAAGCAGGCATGGAGGAGATCCAGGCCCCAGACATCCAGAGGCCCCAGAGTGCGAGAGCCCAAGGAGGACCACCGGAGGGCATCCGTGCCACCCTCATGGGAAGGGCTGAGGATCCCCAGACGAGGCATCACCCAGTAGCCACCGAGCAGAAGCTAGACGGGGCTGCACCGGCGTGCCCACCGGCTCTGCCGGCAGCCAGCTGTGTCAGAGTGAACCGAGCCGCAGGCCCAGAGGCCGGAGGCCCGAGGGCCCCCCGCACCCCGGAGGAGGCCTGACTGAGCAACAGGCGCCAGGCCCCGCCAGGTAGCCACCGGGAGTGAGCCGGTACATACCTGAGTGCCCAGCCCCAGACACCAAGAACCACCAATGCACCGACCCCTGAGGGCATCAGTCACCGGCAGGGAGTGTGGTGAGGTGAGATAGGCCCTGGAGGGCCTGGGAGTTCCCAGAGAGGTGGAGTCTAAGACCCGACCTGACATATAGACACAGACAAACAGGCACACACAGACACAAACATGCATTCCCACCCTCATGCACACATATACAAACACTCAGCACTCACCCAACGTAAGGATTGGACATGTACACACAATCACACTCCCCAAACATGCTCTATACCCCGGGTCCAGGTACCCTCGCCCCCAGAGGGGGAGACAGAACCCAGACCCAAGAGATGTTACCCTTCCCCCCGGGGTGGAGGCAAGCAGACCGTCCCAGGCTCCGCAGCAGCAGGGAGGCCAATCGGACAGCCAACATCTCCTCCCAGCCCCCCCGCCCCGATGGCTAGCAGAGAACGGGGGTGTGTGAAGACCCCATACCTCCCTCCCCCCGCTCATGTGTAGTGTTGCTGCGTGTTGTATAAAGTGCATTTAAAACAAGGGAGAGCATGGTGCTGCTGCTGCCAGAGAGCAGCAGGTGTCAGCACGGCCCTTCCCGAGAACCCTCAATGTCTACATGGATTTAAAATTGAGAGGTGGGCACCGGTGCCAGAGGTAGGTTTGAGTATACAGACCGTCCACTGGACGCCGTTAACGTGCCCACCCTCAAGGCCCTATATATATGTGTGTGTTATGAGAGTGTAAGTAATGTGGATGTCTAAGTTGTGAGATAAAATTGAGGCACAGGTGGCCAGAAGGGGACAGAGGGGGGGGAATGTCTCCCCTGCACCCTGGTGACACACCCGCACCCCAAGGCCCTACCTGTGTGGGTGAGTGTGGTGGAGCGGGAAGAGGGAGGTAGCCAGGGATGGGGAGGAAAAGGAGGGAGGGGAGGATGCCCCTCCCTAGGGCCAGCTCCCCCGCTGACCCCAGTAGGCACCCCCGTCCTCTGGTACCCACCAAGGCAAGGGAGCCCAGGTCCATCCAGACCGGGGCCTATGGTAGCACTGCCAAGCCCCACAGGACCCGGGGCAGCCCACCCTACCCCACCGCAGAGGAAACTGTACCCACCCCAACATTCAATCGTCTCCCATACTACACAAGACAACAGACACCCAGGTTAAGTTTATTCTCCACCTTTCCTATGTCTCTCCCCCACCTGCAGAGTGGACTCCTGCAAGGATGCATTGGTATCTTGCCTAAGAATTCTTTGACATGTAGATAGGGTTAGGTATTGTTTAGGTTTTATCCGATACCGGTGCCAAACCGGTACTTTTGAAACTGTGCCGGTGCTTAAACGGTGCTCGAACTGGTGCTTAAAGAATGGAGAACACAAACTTTGTCCAAAAACCTCTCATGTGTAGCTGTTTTTTGTAAAAAGATAACAATGTTAGCCTTTTCTGCAGCTATGGGGCATATATGGTATCACTCTTGGCTGGAAGCAGTGCTTAAACAATGGAAAAAACACAAACTTTGTCCAAAAACCTCTCATGTTTAACTGTTTTCCACTTTTTCTTTGGTCATTTTTGGCCAGGGTGAAGGGAGTACCTGCCATCAAACAAGAAGACAGCCGCATGTAGCTATGATGATGTTTGCTAGTTCACCTTACATGCATTAATGTAATAACGTGGTTAGCCTACTCAGCGTAAATTACACACGAACAACATTAAGCTACTCACCCAGAGAAGAACGGCTGCTGCTGCATCATCATCCTCATCATTTCTGCTACACTGGCAGGGCTAGGGGCCAGGACTCTCCTCTTCGGGTTCTTGGGGGATGTTGCTAACTCTGGGTCCGATAACAGGCACCACACCCGCAGTAGATGTGCTCGGTGTGAGGTCTCACAGCAAGCTATCAAACACAGCACATTTCTCGGCTTTTAAAAAAACGCTATGCGTCGCCAGGCGTTTCATCAGATTCGAGGTGTTACCTCCTTTGACAGTATCACAGTATCACCTTAAAGCACTTGTTGCAGGCTGCTGAGTTTGCATCTTTTGCTGTGAAGTACAGCCAGACTTTTTACCACTTCGCCTTGGGCATTTTTAATCTGTAGCTCTGCTCTAAAAGAACGTATGTACCTGGGCCCGCCTACTATCCTTGGAAAGGTAAAATGATTGGCTAGAATCCAAAGTGTATGACATCTCAGGGGGAAAAAAAAAAGAACCACCGAAATAAAGCACCGAAATGTGCGCTGCTTTTCGGTCTGGTTACTACCATTTACCGGTACCCATCCCTACATGTAGTCTGGAGGTGCTGGGAAGACTCCTCCAGTCTGGCAGACAACCCAGCAACAGCCACTCCTTCGGCACATCTTACCAATCAGTCAAGTCTGGAGTGTAATGATTCGTGTGTTGAATGATGATACATGAATGTATGCCTTGCACAAACCAAGGTGGTAGAGAATCTTATTTATATACAGTACAAGACTGAACGTAAGTTTATATGTATGTAGATGTGTATGTGTAGGAGAAAAACCTCCTAACATATGGGTAAGACGCTGTTATGCATTCTAAATCATCCTCATCTCCCTGACCATCCCATGAGGCCAATGGGAAATTAGGATTCAGTTGTAATTTCTTACAAAAATCTGCCCCAAAATAACAGGCGATCGTGGCTCAAGAGTTGGCAGTTCGTCTTGTAATCGGAAGGTTGCCGGTTCGAGCCCCGGCTCCGACAGTCTCGGTCGTTGTGTCCTTGGGTAAGACACTTCACCCGTTGCCTACTGGTGGTGGTCAGAGGGCCCGGTGGCGCCAGTGTCCGGCAGCCTCGCCTCTGTCAGTGCGCCCCAGGGTGGCTGTGGCTACAATGTAGCTGCCATCACCAGTGTGTGAATGTGTGTGTGAATGGGTGAATGACTGAACGTGTAAAGCGCTTTTAGTCCTTAGGGACTAGAAAAGCACTATACAAATACAGGCCATTTACCATTTACCATAACAGTAACATTTTCTCTCATAGAGAGTTTATCAAAGAGTCGTTGGTAGACTCTGCCATGTTAATATACACTGATTTAAAAAAACAAAGCAAAAACAAAAAAGAAGCATTTGAGAATGTTTTCAAATTCACCATCTGGCCCTGAATGGACGGACGGATCTGGAGCTTCAGTTAATAAACAAGCAATTTTGACATTTTCTCCCTGGCTCTGGACTAGAGCTGTGATGTCACAGCCCGCTGATTAGTTTTTGTAAGTAGGATAATGACAAAGTTTGTGATTACAGGAGAGCTAGCAGCAATGCAATCAATGAAAGGCACTGTGACAGAAAGTAAGTAGTTAAAGGAAGTGACCGGATAGGCCTGAATGGACTTGGACTGAAATGGGACAAACTGGCAGCTGTTACAACTGATGGTTGTCCAGATCTGAGAGGGAGAAGTTCTCAGATGCAGAATGGGCAGAATGGGAGTCGGATCCTGCATTTGCTGTTGTGATTATACTTAACGTTTTCACCTCAGACATTGAACCTGATACTAATGCACTTGTTCAAGCTTAGATAAGACTAGATTTCTCTTACCAAGCAAGAAAGAAGAACTGAGAAACTGCAGGTGAAGTTATTAATTTACAAGCAAAATAGTAATAGCACTTTCTTAAAAACTTTGATGCCTTCACTGTTCATGGAAACCTCAACATTGACGTTTACCTAAAGCCAACACACACAGACCAGTATCTCCTCTTTGACTCCCACCATCCTCGGGAACACAAACTTGGAGTAATCAGGACCCTACAACACCGGGAAGAAAATGTTCCCTCTAAGCCAGAAGGGAAAGAAAGGGAACACACACATAAAGCAAGCCCAAACAGAAACAGAGTATGCTGTGTAATGCAGCGAGCAGTGCTCAGACCTCTACGTCTGCATTTAAAGGATAACGGTCACTCTTTCAAGGATGCCAATGTTCACATGGTTTAAAAAAGGAGTGTGATTGACTATGTTTGAACAGAGGGGGTGGCTTACAACACCAAGTGCCTCCTACAATGCAGTTTTGAGATCCCCTTCCGAGCACTTTAATCCCCACTAACATCTTGCATCAAACATCTTCAAGAAACTTGAAGATGTCCAGATGTTTTTCTTTCCAAGCTCCTTAGACTGCCACATTTGACTGAGAGCCTACACACACATACAGTCAGACTAGCATGTAGAGTTCGACAGGTCTGTTCACCTGCAGTGTGTGTGTGTGTGTGTGTGTGTGTGTGTGTGTGTGTGTGTGTGTGTGTGTGTGTGTGTGTGTGTGTGTGTGTGTGTGTGTGTGTGTGTGTGTTCCAGGCTCTGGAGGCTTTGGACAAGGCCCTGCAGCAGAATCCCAGTGACCTGACAGTGAGAGCAGAGCTATATTTTTCCAAAGGGAACCAGCTCAGAGAGATGAACCAGCTGGACCGAGCCTTTGAGGTACTACAATCTGCACTCTCTGTCACACACAGACTTATCATCTTTCCCCTCTCATATTTTTCTCTCTTTTTCTTCCTGTAAGCAACATGGATTTTCTGTAGCTGCTAATGATGACTCTCTGTCTGTGTTTGATTCTGTGATGCAAACAGTAATGTACAGGGTTCGTATGGGTGTTTGAAATCCTTGAAAATGCTTGAATTTTAATGTTGTCTTTTCAAGGTTTTGAAAAGTGCTTGAATTCAAGATGTGGTGCTTAAAAGTGCTGGAAAGTGTAACTGTATTTCATTCACCACAAATAACTATCTTTTCATATGGTCTTACTGAGGTGATGCGAATTGAAACATGCATTCTTTTTTTTGGTGGGGGGGGGCTGGAAAAGCTGGAAGTCCTTAAAAAGTGCTTGAATTTGACCCCGAAAAAGGTGTATGAACCCTGAATGTAAGAAACGATGCCAGGTACAAAATTACATGGTCTGCAACTGTGCTTAATGCTAACTCAGTCACTTTTACTTTTACTTTTAAACAAAGTATTTTTCTGGTCTGGGCTAATCTTCTCAAGATATTTACAACAAATCACTAAATTTGATCAGCAAAACTGTTTTTTAGACTCACAAATCAAAGCGAAATCAAGTTGTCTTGTAGAGTGTTTTTCCTCCCACTACAGCAGGGGTGGCGAATCGAGGGCCGGTGTCCTGCAGGTTTTAGATGTGTCCTTGGTCCAACACAGCTGATTCAAATGGCTAAATGACCTCATCAGCATGTCTTTGAGTTCTCCAGAGGCCTGGTAACATCATCATATGAATGTGTGTTGACCCTATGGAACGCCAGGACTGCCATAATGAATTAATTAAATACACCATTAAATAATTAATTAAATGTGGCAATAATTAATTAAAATTGGAAATAATTAATTACATAAATATTTACGACACATGTAATTAATTAATTATTTACACATTTAATTAATTATTTATTTATTTTACATTTTAATTAATTATTGCCACATTTAAATAATTATTTAATGGTGTATTTAATTAATTCATTTTGGCACAGTTGACTCCTTCTGGTCTCACCAGGTCTCACCCATTTTATCTGTCAACCTCACCCATCAAACTCAGGGGGCGGGGTTAACGCTGATCGAGTCAAAACCATTGCTTTGGCCTGGTGGCCATTGGTTTTAGCACACAACAACCGGCATGTGGCAGCTAACAGAACTGAACTTTGAAAAACCCTGTTTGTGTGTCACCAAATACCGTTTTAATATTTTTTTAGCTGAGAATGTAGTGGTTTAATCTTCATGTGTCTGGTCGGTTTGTCACGATACAGCCTCTTTGCAAAAGTGCTTCAATGATTTCGGAGATGTCTGCCCAGTCTGACGGCAAAGCGTGGGATAGACCCGCTCGCCTCGCAAGCAATCGAGCTGTTATTGCCACTGGCAAAGCGCAGGCCTGGTACACAGCTGTAATAACCCCCGCTGACACTGACTTTTTTTACTGAGGTTATATTTATCGGAGTTTTGTTTCCTGATGTTCTTATGTGTCCTACGTGTTTCAGTCGCCAATTCTGAATTATAACTAACATTAAAAACATGTTTAAGGAGGAGAGAGAGCAAATAAATTCAATTAACAGCTGATCTTTGGGTTTTTGTTCAGTAATCAACGTGACCTGTGTATAAACGCATAAAAGAAATAACGTTGGTGTTTCCGTCATGTAGTAACTGCTGGCTTTAACTGTACAAAGGTTGTTCGACACTATGAAACACATACAGACTTCATGATGTTCGGCTAATATTTTTATTGTGAATATTAATCATGAGGGTAAACGGCCCTGTACACCACGGAGCGAGGTCAGCATATCCACGATATCCTCAGCTCCATGAGTTAACACAGAGTTTCCCAGCTGACTATCTAACTGTCATCTACGAATATGTCACGGCTCATATCTATATGATTTTACAGGAAATCATCCGTATTACTGCCAACTATTCCAGAGACGTGAAAATCTACAGCATAAAGAACACAAAAATATAGCAGTCTAACGCAACACTGTAACAGAGATGAACCGTCAGTTTGTCGCAGATCAAAGTGGAATGAAAGTGATTGGTTGAACAGGTGTGATCTGTGTTTTCTGCATTTTCATCAGCGTAAGAGACTCAGCAGCAGATTAGAATAACAGTTACACATTTAATAAATCACAAAATTAACAAACCTGTTCGGACAGTTTGAGTTTGTATTCCCTCAGCTGCAGACTCGCTGTTGTTTAAATGTTTGAAAAGGAAGATTAGATATAAAAAACGTCAAACATAGACTCAGTCTGCGTTCACATTTGATATGAGGCCAGCACGTATAGTGGCTGTGTCCTGTTTTAAGATCATACATGTAAAATTGTTGTCTGACCTCCGTCGATCCAGCCGCTCAGAGTCCGTGGTTACCATGGTTACTGCATAAGCAGCTGTAATGTAAACAGCTGGCACAGCGGAAACCTACCAGCAACATGAGTGTTTATGCTTGTCATTGCAAAAGAACCGTCTGAATGGTTAACTGAAGTTAACTTGGATAAATTATAGTTAAGGAGTATCACAGATAACGCTCACGTGAGCTGTGTGACTGTTCACCACTACACTGAAATCAGTAGGCTATTACTGAAATACATGTGCTATATCATAAACTATGATATAAACAGGGAGGTCCTATTAACATGTTTAGTTTTAAAGGACACCTTCCTGCCTTTAGTCTCATTCATGAGCAGTATTAGTTTTCGTCTAACATCCAGAAGTCTGCACCATGTGTTTCATAGTTTCTAACAAGCCTTTGACAGGTAAACATAACATGACCGAAACACCAAAAAAAAAAAGGAGAAAAAAAATCACACAAATTATATGTTAACCTCATTTATTTTAGTTAAGTAAACTCTAAAAATTCTAACAGACAGCTGGTGCTTAGAATACAGTTGAATAACTATTAAAAAACAGATGATATAATATTTCTGTCCAGGTTGCAGTCTGCATGATGAACACGCTGTTGCAAACTCTGCTCCTCTCGGTGGAAATGCGCCTTCTCTTTTCTTTCTTTAAAACATTTTATAAGTCAGTTTACTCTCAAAATTCACTGTTAAATCCAAAACACACCAGATAAAGAAAAGCGAATGGTTCAGTCTAACACATGTGAACCATTAAACGTCTGTAAAACTGTGCAGTTCTGAAACGTAACTTTAACCTCAGCCAAACCGATTTGCTCAGTTGTAAATAAAACAGCGAAGTAAACGTGACCCGACAGACAAAACCTGAGTGAATTAAGTCCAGCGTTTAACCACTGAGAGCTAAAACTCAGGTGAGGTTTCAAAGCTGTGCCAGTGATTGGACATCAGCCGCTGATGAAGCTGTTCGCCTCTAAAGTGCTCTGTTGGGAAACAAGCTCCAGCAGCTCTGCGCTCGGGGAAAACACTATATTTACTTATCTTGTGCAGAAAAATGCGCTGACATTGCTTTATATCGAGCGCCGGCTGCCCAGTTAAACTGTGACTATCACCAGGTAATGTGGGTGTGTTTCTTGAATTAGCAGCAGGTGTTAAACAGCTGACAGATGAGGAGGAGGATGCATGCAGGTAAACTGAGGGTCTGTTGAGCTGATCGCTGGTGTCGTGAGAAAAATGTCAGCTCGTTCTTTATGTTACAGAAGCACAGAGACACAAGACCAGGCGGAAAGAGACGATCGTTCGGTGAAAATGAGAATCTGCGAATGCAACATGTGGAACACGGAGAGTGGAATAAACAAACCGGTTAACGTACCCCCCCCCCCCCAAAAAAAACAAAACAAAACAAACAAAAAAAAAAACAAAAACCAAACTATAAAAAACTTAAAAAAACAAACAAACAGTTAAGCTGGAACACCGGGGCTGTGAGCTCGGTGCACTCTGTCAGCTGACTGTTAGCAGAGCGAGTGACATCTCTGAAAACATCTGAGCACTTTTGCAAACGTGCTCTATGTTGACAACCTGACCAGACATGTGAAGATTACGGCGCGACATTCGTGGCTAAAACACTGTTAAAAGTGTAGTTGGTGACAGAAAAACGGGGTATTTTAAAACTACACCACCACCATTGCTGCCTGTGATTTGAAATGCATTCTGGGATACCTGGCTGCCCCAAGTCTACACAAGCAATCGATTATCTAGGATGGACCTGTCTTGACTTATTTTGCACGGAAACCAATCAAATGTTAGAGAAGCTGCATGGGCAGCGTTAACCCCGCCCACTTAGTTTGATGGGTGAGGCTGACAGATAAAATTATTTCAAGGGGAGAGATGAAGGGGACAAAAGTGCCAAAATGAATTAAATAAATAAATCAATAAATAATGAATTAAAACTGTCAATAATTATTTAAATGTGTTATTAATTAATTAAATATGTTAATAATTAATTATGTCATTAATTAAATAAATATGTCAATAATTAATTAAATGTGTCAATAATTAATCAATTACATGTGTCGTAAATATTTACGTAATTAATTATTTCCGATTTTAATTCATTATTGCCACATTTAATTAATTATTTAATGGTGTATTTAATTAATTCATTATGGCAGTCCTGGCGTTCCATATTGACCAAGGGTGAGATGTAAAAGGAAAAAGGGAGCTTTTAGAGGTTTCTGACAGAGGAGGTTTATTCACTAACAGTACTAGATGGTAACTAGTGCTTTTTAATAAGCAGCTAACAGCACAAAGCACAACCTAACCTCTGGCTAAACTGCTATTTTAGCAAGATAGGAGAGAGCAGAGCGGAGAGCCGGAAGTGGGGCGCCCGATCTGGCTTCCTACACCTCCCCGCCGGATCGGGCTGTACGCTCTACCTCCCCACTGCCTCCCAAAAAGGGAAGAAGAGCAGAGGGGAGAAGAGCAGAGTATTTTCTTTTCTCTCGCGGTTAGCTGACTGCCTTAGCTGCCCAAGTGATGTCAGCCCTTTTTAACCATAGCCAGTGACTGGTCCTCTCAGCAGTGTCAGCTAGTTCTCTTATAGCCTGCCGTTGCGCCTCTCCTCTGATCCCATTCTCTCTAAGCAGCTTTGCTGTTGTACTGGCAACAAAGCCCCTGCACCGCACTTCCACCGGGTGCACTTTGATCTTCCAGCCTAAATAAATAAATGTGTAAAATGACAGAAAAAATCCTGCTCAGAAAATGTCCTTTTCTCCCCATGCTGTGGATCCACTGTGAAAAATAGACATTTCTGAGTGGATAATGAAAAAACAGCAACTTTTCTGTGACTTAATTGTTATTGTTTATCTATTAATTATCAGTGTAGTTTTAAATTTAATTGCAATGGTGGAAATCTTTATCAGTAGGGAATGATGTAAAACCTATGTCCAAAATATGCTGTGCTGTGTGCTTAAACTTCATTCTCTACAATGTGCATAGCATTTGTAACTGCTCTCACAACAAAGGTGCACGGTACGATGCACGGTCCGCCCAAAGTCATTCAAGAGGTTTTTTTTGCTGTTATTTTTGCTTAATTTCCTCAGTTATTAAGTGCAGATTCATCAGGCTCTCCTGTGTCTTTCCTCTGATCTCTCTTGGCATCATATATTTATTGCACATGCCACACATCAACAGAGATGACACAGAGAAAGATGGAGTCTTCTTTGGAGTGAACATAGCGTTGAACTCGGGTATACATCGAGGTTTCGTTTTTTTGTTCTTGTTTTTGTAAAGTTGAGCAATCTCTGGAAATTCAGCAGAAAGTGAACTGAAAGGAATCAGGTCATTAATGTGATTAAAGTCAGGCAGGCTTGTCCCTGCCTGCTGGCCTTCCTCCCACTGTGGAAGTTCCACCCATTCAGAATTGCTGGCACACTCACAAGAAGTCATCCGAGACCGATGGTTGAGATGCAATCTGCAAAGGAAATTTGTGGAGGATACAGGAAACTTGAAATGACTTTCTGAGGAGGCTTGAGAGGAGAGAAAGCAAACAGAACTGCAAGAGACTGATGATTCTGCCAGAAACGCTGATGGACTGAAAAAGAGACTGGAAGAAACAGGGGTGGGGGTCATCTGAGGTCACTGAAGCTTCAAAGAAGGCCATGTCTGTGCACGTGGGATGTTTTATTTCACAGCATCAGCACAGTGTCTAAAGAAGCCAATGTGAGGCTAACAGCCTGAGAAGCAGTTTGAATTTTACACTTTCAATCAAACGCACTGGTTTATAATATTATAATTTTAATCTCTTACTGCCTGTTGTATTCTAAAACTGAAGGCCCCATCTTATCTTAATGACCTTGTAGTACCATATCACCCTATTAGAGCACTTCGCTCTCGCTCTGCAGGCCTACTTGTTGTTCCTAGAGTATTTAAAAGTAGAATGGGAGGCAGAGCCTTCAGTTTTCAGGCCCCTCTTCTGTGGAACCAGCTTCCAGTTTGGATTCAGGAGACAGACACTATCTCTACTTTCAAGATTAGGCTTCAAACTTTCCTTTTTGCTAAAGCATATAGTTAGGGCTGGACCAGGTGACCCTGAATCCTCCCTTAGTTATGCTGCAATAGACGTAGGCTGCCGGGGATTCCCATGATGCATTGAGTTTTTCCTTTCCAGTCACCTTTCTCACTCACTATGTGTTAACAGACCTCTCTGCATTGAATCATATCTGTTATTAACCTCTGTCTCTCTTCCACAGCAGGTCTTTATCCTGTCTTACTTCTCTCTCCCCAATCAATCACAGCAGATGGCCCCGCCCCTCCCTGAGCCTGGTTCTGCTGGAGGTTTCTTCCTGTTAAAAGGGAGTTTTTCCTTCCCACTGTCGCCAAAGTGCTTGCTCATAGGGGGTCATATGATTGTTGGGCTTTTCTCTGAATCTATTATTGTACGATCTACTGTACAATATAAAGCGCTTTGAGGCTACTGTTGTTGTGATCTGTATAAATAAATTGAATTGAATTGAATTGAAGTCACAGGATCTCCAGGATGCTGCCGAGCTGAAACATAATCACCTAAATACAACAACGCTTTATAAAATGGTATAAAGGTTGGCATATCATGTGATATGTCACAAATTATAGTTAAAACATGTTTGTCTTCCTGACTGATGAGTGTTGTTTCTGACCATATGGATCCCTTCATGACCATCTCTAAAGGTCTCTTCTAGCCAGATAATGTCATGGAGTCAAACTGGACTCAATAAGTTATTGAAACCAATGGCAGAGATTTGATTACAGCGCTCCATCAAAATTTGTGTCTTTTTTGAATGGTCAGATCTTACAAATTGAGTTCAGAGAAGTTCAGGAGCCCAACTCTCCAGATCTGAACCCAGTAGTGAACCTTTAGCATGTGTTGCTGTGGGTTATGTGGCTTAGGTGTAACCGCAACCTACACCAGCTGACCAACTAACTATTAAGTCTGGTCGATTCTGTTCATCTGGATGGTCTAGATGAACAGAGTCGACCGTTTGGGATTTACTCACCTGGATGATTGAGCATGCATCAAGACATATTGAGTCCGGTCCCACTTCTGCTGTTAAAAATGTTGTGAATGGAAAACCCAGTGTTGTAGCTGCTGCTATCAGTTGGTAAATTTACCAGTGAGCCTTTGAGTAATTTTCAGAAAGCAACTGAAGCAACCAGGTACAAAGCTGCAAGGTTTGTACTTGGTTGCATTATAACAAATAATATGTGTTTACCTGAGATTTGCCCCCAGAGATAACTGAGTCCTCTTCTCTATCACCAGAGTTACAAGCTCGCTGTTGAGCTCAAACCAGACCAATCACAGGCCTGGATGAACATGGGAGGAATTCAGCACATCAAGGTAGAAAAGACACATTTAAAATCTGACAATACAACTGAACACTCCTGACAAACTTTACATGTGTCCGACATCTGCGAGCATCAGCATGTACTGTGATGTTTGTGCTATATAAAGTTCTGTCCACTCTACCTCACTCTCTAAATCACTACTGGGGTGGTTGCCCAAGATGTCTGCTGGCTCGTACTGCCCAAGTCTTCCACTACAGAAACCATGTTAGAGGCTGACAGAAACCAACAGCTGTCCTTGGGAAATGGGCCTTGTTGGACCCATCCACCAGTTTGAGCCCAAACCGCACGCCCATTCATGGTGATCACTCACCCCCTTCTGTCTCAAAAAGGTCATGGAAACATGTGCAACAGCTGTGAAGCTGAACTACACATAAGCTGCTAGCAAAAACAGTGTCGTGTTGTGCTGTGATTTTGATCCAGGTCAGGCAGATTTAAACCCAACTCAAAATGACCTCAACCTAATGGCAGAGCTCAGCGGCAGCAGGCAGGTCTAATGTGAAATCAGATTTGTAATATGTGTGTGTTTGTTTAGGGAGATTATGCAGCTGCCAGGATGTACTACCAACGCGCCCTCCTTCTCAGTCCAGGTTCCAAACTTCTGAAGGAAAACCTTGCCAAGCTGGACCGACTGGAGAGGAGACTGACAGGGGCTGTGTAGACTGGTGCCAGTGACACGACACAGTGGGACAAACACTTGCTCTGGAGCCCAAACACCACCCATTAAGACTGTTGAATAAACTTAGTCTGTTACGACGATGGGTAGGAGAGAAAAGAAGTAGGGTGAACCTCTCGGGCCTTCAAAGAGACTGGCCCCCAACTACAGGCCCAAAGCCTTTCCTGAAGGATACAAAGAGAAGCTGGTAAGAGCTCTGTGCATTACCAGCCTGCATCAGCTTTTCTTCAACATGCATATCTGTTTTCAACATTTGCGTTTCATTTTCTTTAAGGCACTTAATCAGAGATCTTCCTGAGCTCTGTGCTCTGCCTTTGAAAATGATTCACATATTTACATTAATGCAATAAAAGTGTGCAGATTTAATGAAGGGAACGAGTGGGCAGGTATTTTCCTGACCCTAAGGTATGAATAATAAAATGATGTAGGTTCAGAAGTCACCTGTTTGCTTTGGGGTTCTTTCAGCTCATGGACACGAAGAACATCAGAGCCCACTGTTTCATGCAAACAAACCATGTCCCAACCTGACATAAGACACCTACACTTCACACAAAGACATTTTTGTGAATCAATGCCCATAAACGGAGGTGTATCGATTATTTTTATGCTTTTGCATGAATTAAGATTGAAGACAAATCTCAAATCAAGACCAAGTGTAACCTAACTGTTGGTAAGCCTCAGAGCCAAACATTTATGATGTTGGTAACTTCCAGCTTCTGAAAATTCCAAATCCCAGCCAGCAATGATTTCCATCTCCGTCAGTATCACAGCAAACCAACTCACACAAACTCTTGGAACGTGCTGTCATTTGGATTGTTGTTCTTTATCAATTCAAAATGAAGCGTCTCAGCAAAGTTTTTATTGATTACTTATTATTTTAAAATGAGTGGTAGTACAATGTGGCTTTGGAGTTGGAATCAATCAGGCACATTTAACTCTGAGCAACTCTGAAATTCAGCAGAGGAGCTCTTTGCTGAAACAGTGTCTTGATGCTCTGATATTGTATCCACGGGACACAAAAGTAGTCCCATTTCTGCTGTTACAGTTTATGGCTCCTGCCCTCCAGCAGCTGGGGACTTTCAGACTGCTAACTCTGAACTTCTCTGCAGCAGAAGGAAGTTTTGGCTTGACTGGTTCCTTGTACATTGTTCAGTGGTATAAGTGTAACAATGACATGATTGTATTCTCTGATACATTGTGTCCATCATCAAAAATCACACAGGCAGTGTTACGCTGTCTTGTTTGCAGCATTGTCTGTCCTCAGACTTTTAACTTTACATTTTTAGAAAATAAAATTTCCAAACTCTAATTGAAAATGAGCAAACATCAGATGGTGAATAAAAATTTAAATGAGTTCATTACAGACATCAGATTGCCTCTGTCTATAATGTTTTTTCAGCTAAGATAAGCAACGCACACCGCTATCATACTTGAGCTCCATTCTTGGGCCTCATGATTAAATCAGTAACTATATTAACTAAAGAAGGTTATTTAAAGATCTGCAAAGTAAGTGAAGTTTATATTTGTATAACCCAATGGGAAATAAGGACAGATTCATTTGGATCCCACTCTGCTGGGATATTTAAATGAATATATGTGTAAAGCTCTCTTAAAATGTCATTATTCTGGTAACAGCTGCTTCCTCTCTAGATTACCTAAATCATATTTATCTGATCTCCACTTATGGCAGAAGCTAGAATAAACAGCCTGATGTCACAAGTCTTCAGCAAGTAGAATAAGCTAATGTGTCGGCTCCTGTGTGGAGCTCCAACTTGTGGGTTCATGTGCAACATAACCTCTGAGGAATGGTGTTTCGCTGATCGTTGTGGTTTTATTGATTCTCTCGAGTGAATTTTATTGTGGAATGCCAATGAGATGAAAGTGAAGTGACTAGTGCAGTGACTGGGTTGCACCAAGAAAATAAAATATATCTTTTATTAAATGGTGTTTGGAGTTGTTCTTCTTTTAAATGTCTAAGAAAAAAACATGAAATATTCTCAGTAGACGGATTGGGGCTGCAGTAATGCGGACGCTGCACCGGTCCGTCGTGGTGAAGAGGGAGCTGAGTGTAAAAGCGAAGCTCTCAATTTACCGGTCGATCTATGTCCCTACCCTCACCTATGGTCACGAGCTGTGGGTAGTTCAGTTCAGTTCAGTTCATTTTTATTTCAAACATTTCAAACATGTGCCTTCACAATCATTACAAAATATCATTCCATTATTTGTTTGAAAAGGAGTAGGCTGAAGTATTTACTTATTTGTCCCTACCCCCTCAAGTTTTACCTCTCATTCATTTAATTTTTTTTTGTCTTAAATTAAACAAACAACATATGAAACATATAAACATATGAAGTAAAACAAAACATAACATACATAAATCAAAAACAAGAAATTAGCAAGCCCCACCACAGTATAGTTTCTTTCATATGAAAAATACAGAATGTGTGTATTTGCAGATACACAAGTTATGGAAAAACAACAAACCAAAACAAAACAAAAAAACAACCAAAAAAGAACCGCAACACCATTACCAGCAACATTACCATCCTGGGTTAACCCCGTTTTCTTCATTCTTATACTTATTTAAAATTAGGTTTTTATATTTTACTTTAAACTGTTTTATGTTTTGACTGTCTTTTATTTCTTCTGTTAGACTGTTCCATAATTTAACTCCTGCAATTGAGATTGACATAGTTCTTAAAGTTGTTCTAGCACTTTGTATTTTTAAATTCCATTTCCCTCTTAAGTTATACCCACCTTCTCTTTCTATGAACAATTTACAGATTTCTTTGGGAAGCAATTTATTTCTTACTTTATACATTATTTGCGCTGTTTTAAGCTTCACCAAGTCTTGGAATTTAATAGCTTGCATTTTGACAAAGAGTGCATTTGTATGGTCCCTGTACCCTACATTATTTATTAATCTAATGGCCCTTTTCTGTATTATAGTTATTGTTTGTGTGTTACTTTTGTATGTGTTTCCCCAGACCTCTACACAGTAGCTCATATATGGCAGTAGTAAAGCACAGTATAAAATGTGCAGTGCTTTCTGATCCAACATATGCTTTGCTTTCCCCAGGACGGCAATGCCCCGTGCCAATTTCCCCCGAACATAAGTAATGTGTGGCTTCCAACAGAGCTTGTGGTCAATGATCACCCCAAGAAATTTTATTTCATTTACTCTTTCTAAATATACATTGTCAACACATATTTCTACTTCGATGTTTTTCTTTTGGTTTCCAAACAACATAAATTTGGTTTTATCTAGATTCAATGATAATTTATTTATATCAAACCACTTCTTTAATATCGTTAATTCCTGTGTGATCATTTCCAAAACCTGTGGCAATTCCCCACCTGCACACAGTATATTTGTGTCATCTGCAAATATTACAAACTTTAAAATCTCCGATACTCTGCAGATATCATTTAAGTACATAATAAACATTTTTGGACCCAGTACTGAACCTTGAGGTACTCCACAAGCTATATCCATCAAATTAGATTTATATTCATTTATTTGTACATATTGTTGCCTATTCCCTACATAGCTTTTTAACCATTCCAAAACCACTCCCCTAAACCCGTACTTTTCCAGTTTTTTTAATAGAATTTCATGATTAACAGTATCAAACGCCTTCTTTAGATCTAAGAAAACTCCGAGCGCATACCTCTTATTATCCATACATTCCGTTATCTTTTCCATTAAATCTATCAGTGCCAAAGCTGTTGATCTGTTGTTTCTGAACCCATACTGACTATCTGTCATTAATTCATATTTTTCCACAAAACTGTCAAATCTTTTTATGAAGAGTTTTTCCAGTATCTTAGAGAACTGGGAGAGTATTGACACTGGTCTATAGTTTGTAAAATTATGTCTTTCACCGGTTTTGTAAATGGGAATAACTTTAGCAACTTTCATTTTTTGTGGAAAAACTCCTTTTTGAAACGACAAGTTGAATATATATTTTAATGGTTTTACGATACCATCAAGTAGTGACCGAAAGAACGAGATCACGGATACAAGCGGCGGAAATGGGCTTCCTCCGAAGGGTGGCTGGCCTCTCCCTTAGAGATAGGGTGAGAAGTTCGGCCATCCAGGAGGGGCTCAGAGTAGAGCCGCTGCTCCTCCACATCGAAAGGAGCCAGCTGAGGTGGTTCGGGCATCTGAGCAGGATGCCCCCTGGGTGCCTCCTGGATGAGGTGTTCCAGGCATGTCCCACCGGGAGGAGGCCCCGGGGCAGACCCAGGACACGCTGGAGAGATTATATCTCTCGGCTGGCCTGGGAACGCCTTGGTGTTCCCCCGGATAAGCTGGAGGAGGTGGCTGGGGAGAGGGAGGTCTGGGCTTCTCTGCTTAGGCTGCTGCCCCCACGACCCGGCCTCGGATAAAGCAGATGAAGATGGATGGATGGAACTTTATCAATAAAACTGTCACGGTCCGCTGTGACGAACCGAGTGGAGAATGCGTGTAATGGACCCAGGTGCGTACACAAGTGAGCAGACGGGAGTGAGCTTTAACAGAAGGCGAGCCTTTTATTGTGGCTGGTAACACAAGAGAAACAAACAAGAATAAGGGCAGCACAAAAGCAATAACTAAACAGAAACCTAAACTGGGAATGAACTAAGGTAAGGCTATGACTTAGAATACAACAGACCGGGCATGGAAACACGGGGGGTGGGAACACAGACGACGCGACACAGACTGTAAGAAACACAGAGACTAAATACACATGAGGGATGATCAGGGGAAGTGGCCACACATGGGAACGCAGCTGACACACATGAACTTAACGACAGGACAGGAGGAGTGAAACTGAATACACTGACAGTGAATGCAGGCCTTCAAAGTAAAACAGGAAACATGAGACATGAACCGGGGAGATGTAGTACAGGGGGAGGTGACAATACTGACAGCATGAACTTGACAGTACAAGACGCACAGACATAAACACACGAAGGGCAAGGGAGACGTAATGCAAGGGTGATATATACAAATGGCTGGACTACCTTAATGAACCTAAACAATCAATAAACATCAAAATAGACTAAACACAAAACACTGGGTCACACGACCCAGGACCATGACAAAAACAGCTGCAGCTTTCACTACAGCACGTGTGGTACTTTGACCTTTGTACTGTTGTCATCGGTTCATTTTGCAGTTAACATGTGAACATGTTTTTTCATGTCTATTTAAGTGCTATTTATGACACTATGTTTGCACTGAAGCACCGCAGCAATTTCCTAATGTTGTAAACCTGCTCAACATTTGGCAATAAACCCCTTTCTGATTCTGATTCTGATGTTGGATGATCTGTCTGCTGTCACTGGGTGTTGCTGAGGTCTGAATCTGAAGGCAGCTCCTGTAATCACAAAGACAACAGAACCATCAAACTCAAATATAAATTTTATCCCTCAAAATTGAAATAAAGCTGATTTTTTTTTCTTTTTCTTTTTTTCTTTTTTTTTTCTCTTGCCTGTCCCGTTTGGCTCTTTTGCCATCAGAATTGTTGTCTAAAGGCAAAGAAAGATGCCCAATGGATTTACTTTACCAAACTGACCATCCCAGCCTTGCCGTAATGGTCCATTTGATTCACCTTTTATTGTTTATTTTATTTTCACTTGCTGAATATGGGACAGACTTGACTGGGGGAAAGAAGGGGAGAAAGAAAGAGGGAAAGAGAAACAGCTGAGAAGAGGGACGGGGGAGAAGGGCAAAAAACAAAAACCAACAGAATGGGCAGGAAAAAAAAATGCATATATCGATCACCTGGATCACCTGCTGAGAAAGAAAAAAGAAAACAAGCAGAAGAGAACAAGAGTAATAGAATAAACAGCATCACAATGATATATGGGAATATGACAGTAAATACTAAATATTAAACATTATTGTGCAGCACATAAGATCAACAGAACACAGTGTGCTTTGAGGTAAGAGCCAAAAAGGGTGTAGTTTGTGGGTGTGATCACCCGTGTGTACACCTGTGAGCATGGACGCGCTTGTTTTTTTAAAAGGTTCCTTCATGTAATGATCTGCTAGAGGGTGTGGGGGGGCCACAGCCCCGTCCTCCAGGGCATGAAGCAGGTATGGAGGAGATCAAAACTCCAGACATCCAGAGGCTCCCAGAACACAAGAGACCAAGGAAGACCAACAGAGGGGCAGCCGCGCCACTGTCCCAGAAAGAGCTGAGGAGAGTCCCAGATGAGGGCTCGCCCAGCAGCCGCGGAGCAGAAACCAGGGGGAGTTGCAGTGACGCACCCGTGAGCTCCGCCGGCAGACAGCCGTGCCTGAGTGACCGAGCCCTAGGCCGAGAGG